CCTAGGCCTGGGGGAGCCTCTGCTTCCTTCTTACAACGCCTCTGAGTGCTCAGTCAGGCTCTGCAGGGTGGCTGGGGTCCACTGTGGTCACTCTGTAGGATAGCAGAGGCCCATGGCTCTCTGGTGGGTACAGGGCAGCCTGTAGTCTTGGCAAAGCCAAAGTTCTCCTGGTTTGGGGTAAGACAAAGGCTGGGGACTCAGCAGTTTTTACTAAGTTTTACTAAGCACTGACTATGTGTGCATGCCCGGCTCTGTTTTAGATGTCGAGTATAATGTACTGATGGGAAGCACTAAGTAGTGACTGGATGTGAGCACTGCATTGATTTCTCACCAAGACTCCACTGGGGTCTTCCTCCACCATCCCACTTTAGAGGCGAGGATGATGAGGCCCAGGTGACATGGGCAGAAGGCTGCAGAGCAGGGTTGAGGCCTCAGGTGGTTGACCCATGTCTGGAGCCCTGTTCTACTGCCTGGTTAGGAATGGGGCCCCCAGAGGCCCTGCCCCTGCCCTCCAGCCCCCCTTGCTGTGTGGCCAAGGAGGGTGGAGCTCTTGGCCAGAGCAGGGAGCTGCAGCCAGTTCCCAGGAATGTGGGGCTGTGGGCCGTTTGCTTTGGCAGCAGCTCTGCCCTCAGCTCTCCAAGCCTCCTGGTGGGCCCCCCACCTCAGTCAGCCCCTCCAGCGCCCACCCACTGCCTGCCCTGCAAGCCCCAGAGTGAGGAGGTGGTGCCCAGCCTAAGCCCTTTGTCTGCCTCTTCTAATGTCCAAGGGCACAGGAAGGACTAAGAAGCTCTGCTCTGCCACAGACAAACCCTGTGGTCCTGTGTCTCAGTCTCCAAGTCTGTAAAATGGGAATGAAACAGCACCTGACTTCACAGGTGTTAGATTTATCAACAATTGACTGTGGATACTGTCATCGTGACATGTACCCATTACCTCCTGTCCTGGGTTTGCCATCCACCCACTTATGCAAGTGGCCCTTAGTTTCCCTGTCTGCAAGAGCAGAGACTGATGGTCCAAGTCACCAGACTTGGAGTCATCCACAGAGAAGGGCCCAGTGGACAGGTACACGAACTTGTTTCCCCTTTTGTTCAATAAGAAGACCATATGAATTTCTGAGAGTGCATCTTGGGCCTTGTCCCCAGATCCTAGACTGGACTTGACACAGCAAGTCAAAGGGGCAGTTTCAGGACTACCCCAGGAATACAGGGTCCCTCAGTTTCCCCTTGGCTGGCACTGGTACAATGGTGGCTAATGGCCTGGCCCCATACTGCCATGGGGTGGGCAGGGATGCAGCCCCCCCATCTTATAGAGGGCCTGTCCTCTTTGCTCCTGCCAAGGACACTGAGTCCCAGTGTCCAGCAAACAGCCCCCAACCACTCTGTTCCTCTACTCCTCCCTCAAGTAGGAACTCTAGCTGGCTTCTAGTAGCCTGGTGATCTTGAGCCTCAGTTTCCCCTATTGGGCTGCAGGAGGGCAGGGGGTGGAGGCAGCCCTGCCCAGACCCTCCCATGGGGGAGGAGGTAGCTAGTAGGTCTTCTGGGCCGCAGGCGCTGCAGCTGGGGGCCGGCTGTGCATGGCCGGGGGCACACAATAGCTGCCATTGTTTCAGCCTTGCCAGCGGGTGTGGGGGGGTGCCCAGCCCACCCTCTGTGTGACCCCCACCCCGGGGTAGGGGAGGGATTAGGGGAGGGCCTTCAGCAGGCAGCCCCCGCCAACCCGGTGGTCCCCGCAGCCACCCCCGCGTGCTTCCTCCCTCACTGCCACTGCTTCCTCCAACTCCCTCTGTTCTAATTAGTTCCTTTTGCAGCTGAAGGAGCCGCTGGGCCCTGGCAGCGCGACCACCACGGTGGGCCCTCGAGGTGGGAACACTGCGCATCCCAGCTAGCAGCTCCATGTGAGCCCTGCTCCTAGACGCAGCCTTTGGTTGCTGATCACAGCTGTACTAGCGACAGGCAGGAGCGAGCTAATACCACTAATCCAACTATCAGGGAAAATGAGTGAGGCATGGGGGGTTCCAGTTGCAAGGTTCAAAGGAAGCGATGTCGTTGGAGGCTCATTCTGTTCCCTCAACCCCATGGCATTGCACCCAGGTGCACTGGGCTGGAAAGGGCAGGGCTCCTGCATCCATGAACAGAGCACACCAGGGACTGAGGGTCTGGAGTCCAGCTCAATGAGCAGGACCTCTCAGAGCAATTAGGCTTCTCCCTCCTGAGGGTCACCATACCCCTCCCTTGTCCTGAGCCTTAAATCTGGTTATGGTGTGCTTGGCCTGGGAGGGGCTGGGCCTCACGCTTTGAGGAGAGCTGGAACCTGGCTCTCCCCAGCCCTCTTCACCCAACCCAGGAACAAAGTGCCAAGCTGAGCCTAGGCTGGCTGCTGCCGGCTGGGGATAGGAGCAGGGAGGGGACAGTTTGAGGTTTGCCAAGGTCAGAGCATGAGTGGCGCCACAGGCCATCTTTTCCCTGGGGGACTGCTGCAGAGGAAAACCAGGCAGGGACCGAGTGGAGATGCTGGGAGGTATGGGCTTTGGGGTGGTTCTTTTCTCCTCCTTTCCCAGGAGGGGGAGGCAGCACCTGGGTTAGGCTCTGGCTTCTGTGGAATGAACCCATCTCCCTGGGCAGAACCAGAGGCAGGAAGTGGGGGTGGGGTGGGGGGGGTCCCTGGGGATCTCGCCTGCTAATGAGTGTGTGTGTGTGTGGGGGGGGGACTGGAGTCCTTCCTCCTGCTTTGGAGATGTGCCTGGCTCTAAATGGGGTGATAGGCTCCTGCTGTAACCCTCCCCAGTCCTAGGGAGAGGCAGTGTCCCCTGCAAGTCTCTAAGAACAAGGTGATCCAGGACCATGGCCCTGCTCCAGCTGTGTCTGGTGTGTGTGGGAATGGAATGAGTAGTTGGGCAGGTATTGAAAGATGTTGCTTGGGCAGCACTGCTGGTAAGAGTCGGTGTCCACAAATTCTCAGCTCTGGATCCATCCTGCCTTGTGGTCCTCTTCTCCAGAAAGTCGGGGTGGGGGCGCGGGATGAGGGTTAGAGAAAGGCTGTGGGGAGGCCTGTGGCCCTAGGCCAGCAGAGGGACCAGGCCACCAGCCCTTCCTGGCTCCTGAATTCTTAATCAGCATAAATATTTACTTCCTTCCTCCCCTTCCAGGCTCCCAGCACAGAAGAGCTTCAGGGATGTTGGACTGAGCCTGTGTCTAAAAATAAACAGGTGGAAGGACAGGCAGACAGACAGACATGATTGGGGGTGGGGGGTCAGGCAGAGGGCAGCTCCCTGCCCAGAGGAATGGAAGCATAGACCCAAGGTCACCCATCACTGTCACTATGCCCTGTTATCCACTCACCTGCCAGCCAGGGTATGAGACTACTAAGGAGAGAGTGGCACTCTGGTCCCCATTCCCTTTGCATTGCTGGAAGCCTCTGGTTCAGGCATGGCCTGAGGGAGCACATCCAAACAGATGTGACAGCTCCAACAGGGACAAATCCAAGACCTGATCCCACAGCCAAGAGTAGCCGCCATGCACCAATGACCTGGTTCTGCAAGGGTGGGCAGCTTCCCTGTTCTAGAGAGTCCCTATACCCATGGGTGGGTAGAGCCTGGCCATGTGTCCCAACAAGCAGAATGGCTCAAGTCAGCGAGGGGATGATCTTGTTTCCAGTGTGCTTGGGAAGTCTTGTAGAAATTTGGAGTTTTGGGGGGTGCAGGGGAAGGGATGAGTGAGGATGCAGCAGCTGTCCTCCCTGCCCCCCTCTTGGGCAGCTCTGGATCCCAAGGCCATACCCAAAGGCTACACTTGCCGAAATGTCCCACATACTTTCTAGGCACTCTGTCCACCCTTTTGTCTTAAATACAGAGAATCTCGAAGTGTGATTTGGTTGGCAGAAATTTTCAAGGTGTGATGTGACCATGACCATGACCAGAGGCCAAGTGGTTGGGGGTGTTTCCTGCATATGCAGAGGTTGCTTCTGGAAGTGCAAGTTTGGGGGAAGAGCCGATGTTTTTCTTGGGTCAGTGGGTTCCTGTGAGTCCATTTATATGTGAAGAAAACTTCTTAGGAAACAGAATAATTCTGAGAAGGATGAACACTACAGCATGGAACTCGTAATAGCACATTATCACCAGTAAATACGATTATATGTAAGTTTGTAGCTGGTCTACTCCTACAACCTTGCCCAGCTGGCCTGGCCACAGACCCCACTGCCCCCTGGTGGCAGCCCAGAGCCCTGTTTCCTGGTGACTTATGGATACCTCTTGTCCCTCACCTGCAGATGGGGTTCCCCTGCCTGTGCCCCCACTCCTTCGTAGTGAAGCTTCCTACTTACAGATGAGTGCTGGGCACAGTGAACGCTTAGCAGTGGGTCACTGAGGAATACTAAGGGCCACCTTGGAGGACACTTGTTCTGGTTTGCTTCTGGGTCTTCATACTCAGACTAGCAGGCTTCCCACGCATGGCTGCCCATCCCATCAGAACCGATTGTCAGAACTTGGCTAGGCAGCTCCTGGGAAAAGACCTGGCCTTGAATGGGTGCTCTGCTACATCCTAGCTCTCTAAATTGAGGCAGCCTCAAAAATAGTTTCAGGGTTGGAGATATGGCTTAAGCCATAGAGCGCCTGCCTTGAAAGTTTGAATGCCTGAGTTCTGCAAAGAAAATCAAACCAAACTAAACCAAAAAAGCCTCTCAGTTTCAGTTGTGTATGGTGGTGCATGCTTATAATCCCAACATCAGGTGGCTGAGGTAGGAGGATTGTGAGTTCAAAGCCAGCCTAAACTACATAGTGAGATTCTGCCTCAAAAAACCCCCAAAAAACTACCACCCAGTTTCATGGCAAAACAGAGACATGAGCTTTGCCTTCCCAAAAATCTCATGGTAAGTGAATGTAGAACCTCTGAGTAGGTGGTCGGCTACTTTTTGTGATACCTCCTGGTCTCACTACCCACTCCTCTCTGCTCCTGTAGATATTAGTGGGGTCACACTGTTACAGCACAACTCCTGTTCCTCCCCAGGTTCCTGCCTGAAGATCCGCTGGGCACTACCTTCTGCCTGCTTCGCCTTCCCACAGCAGCCCCCATCACCATGCATTCTTTGGACGAACCGCTCGACCTGAAGCTGAGCATCACCAAGCTCCGGGCGGCGAGAGAGAAGCGGGAAAGGACACTAGGTGTGGTCCGGCACCGTGCCCTGCACAGGGAGCTAGGCCTAGTGGATGACAGCCCTACACCTGGCTCCCCGGACTCCCCACCCTCAGGTACCACACCAGGCAGGAATGGGACTTAGACTGAGCCATGAGAATAGGAGTAGCCAGGGTGTGTCCACCAGCATGTAGCCTGAGCCCCAAGTTTCCACCCCAACACTTGTCCATTCCTTCATTCTCCTAGCAGGGAAGGAGGGAGCTGAGACCTGCCTGGTCAGTGTAGCTGGTACACACTGCCAGGATTCAGAAGTCCTCTGGAATTGAAGAGGGGTGTGGAAGGGTCCAAAAGTAAGCAAAAGTCCTACACCTCACCTCCTGAGCTTTGAGGTGGTGCAGCCGGTCAACCAGAGTGGTAGAGATTGGGGATCAAGCCCAGCAAGTGCATCTCAAGGGGTCTTGTCACTCAGGCCCAGTGGCAGTCACTCATGTGTTCTGCCTCCAAGGGGACCCTGAAAACAGGATTTACCACATCAAGGTGGGAGGCTCTGGCAGCAGCTCAGCCCAAACCTCCCATTTTACAGAAGGAGGGAGCCTGGGCAAAGTGTGAAAGGTCCCCACGCCTGCTCAAGCTTATAATCCTAGTTACTTTGGAGACAGAGATCAGAAGGATTATCATTCAAAGCCAACCAAGGCAAAAAATTAGCGAAATCCTATCTCAGCAAACGGCTGGACATGTGGCACATGCCTGTCATCTCAGCTATGTGGACAGCATGAATAGGATTGCAGTCCAGGATGGCCTGGGCATAAAATAACCAACACAAAAAGGGGTGGCAGAGTGGCTGAAGTGATACAGCGCCTGCCTAGCAAGTGAGAAGCCCCGAGTTCAACTCCCAGTACCGCCAACAACAAAAAAAGGGAAGGTCCCCTCCTGCCAGTCTGACAGGGAGCCAGGAGTCCTCTGTTCAAGTTCCTGTCTGCTATTTCCCTGTATGCCAAACCAGTCCCATTTGTAAGGTAGGGGAGTCCCACTTCTTACCTTGCACCGTGGCCGAGTTCTCAGGGTGGTATAAGGGTCAAACAAGATTCTGTCACATTGTCAGCTGCTTATTAGATATCGGGGTCCCAAGATTTTCAGGGGGAGGGGAGAACATGGCTCATTTCTGTGTCTAGGCTGATAGTGGGGACCCTGAGGTGGTAGGACCAGGTTTCACTGGGACTTCTGGGTCTAGCTCCTCCCCCCAGTAATGACATTCCCTTAGGCTTTCTGCTGAACCCCAAGTTCCCAGAGAAGATAGATGGACGCTTTTCTTCGGCCCCTCTGGTAGACCTCAGCTTGTCACCACCATCTGGACTGGACTCACCTAATGGCAGCAGCTCACTGTCCCCTGAGCGCCAGGGCAACGGGGATCTGCCTCCAGTGCCCTCTGCCCCGGTAAGGAGCGGGTAAGGGTTTTTGAGCAGAGGTGCGGGGGTTTCCTGGGCTCTATAACAAACTGCCACAAAACTGTGTGACTTAAAGCAGAACCCAGCTGGAAGCATGGCTCAAGCAGTAAAGTACCTGTCTGGCAAGCTCAGTACCACCCCAAAAACAACCCCCCTACCCAAACATGTATTCTCTCACTGTCTGGAAGCTAAAGTCTGAAGTCAAGAGGTTGATAGGACCACAGTCCCTCAAAGGCTCCGGGAGAGTCCTTTCTTGCCTCTCTTAGCCTCTGGAGGTTCCAGCTGTTCCTTGGTGTCCTTGTCTGGTAACCACACCCCTCTAATCTCTGCTGGCACTGTCACCTGGCTTCCTCCCATTGTGTGAATATGTCCAAACCTTCTCCTTTCTCCCATAAAGACACTGGTCGTTGGATTTAGGGCCACCCTAATCCAGTAGGATCACATCTTAACTAATTATGTTTGCAAAGACTGTTTCCAAACAGGTTACATGCTCAGGTACCAGGGATTAAGAGTATCTTTTTGGGGGGACACCCTTCAACCTACTCCAGAAGGGGGATAGGATCTAGGTGTACCTGGCAGGGCACTGACCAGCTGTCACCCTAACCCTTGCCCCCAGGACTTCCAGCCACTACGCTATTTGGATGGTGTTCCTAGCTCCTTCCAGTTCTTCCTGCCCCTGGGCTCTGGGGGGGCCCTGCACCTGCCCACTTCCTCCTTCCTCACCCCACCCAAGGACAAGTGCCTCTCGCCAGAGCTGCCCCTGCCCAAGCAGCTGGTGTGTCGCTGGGCCAAGGTGAGTGGGGGCCAGGAAGAGTGGTGGGGGCCTGGGGCAGGCACCCTGCATGGGCTCAGAACCCTGCCTGGCCCCACAGTGTAACCAGCTCTTTGAGCTCCTGCAAGACCTGGTGGACCATGTCAACGACTACCACGTCAAGCCTGAGAAGGATGCGGGGTACTGCTGCCACTGGGAGGGCTGTGCTCGTCATGGCCGGGGCTTCAACGCCAGGTGAGGGAGCAGGGCGAGGCCAGGAGGGAGGGGCCAGGTGTCCAGCAAGCTGAGTGTGCCCCCTCTGTCCTCCCTGGAGCAGGTACAAAATGCTCATCCACATCCGCACGCACACCAATGAGAAGCCGCACCGCTGCCCTACCTGCAACAAAAGCTTCTCCCGCCTGGAGAACCTGAAGATCCATAACCGGTCCCACACAGGTGAGCCTTGGTCCATAGAGGGCTGGGCAGGTCCCAGGGGGCAGGGGACTCTTAATGAAGGACTGGGCCTTAGAGATAAGGGACAAATCTCATTGTTCATGCACCCCCAGCCCTTTTTTTTTCTTTGTAGTACTGTGTTTAAACTCAGGTCCTTGCACTTGCTAGGCAGGCACTCTACCCCTTGAGCCATGGCCTCAGCTCTCATGGCCTCTCTTTGAAGGCCACTGGCTAAAGAAGCTCTTCCACTAGTTTGATTAATATGACCTCAGGGATGGCAGAGTCTGGGTCTGCTTTGCTTTTCTCTGCATCTTGAGCCCACAATGCAGTCAACTTTGGCTAACAGAGCCAAAGACCTAATTGTAAATCCCCTAATCACTGCATTAAAAAGAGCAAAAATCAGGTCAGGCACAGTGGCTCACACCTGTAATACCAGCCCCTCAGAAGGTAGAGATCAGGGGGATTGCTGATTGAGGCCAGCCAGGGCAGAAAGTTAGTGAGATCCTATCTGAATTAAGTTGGGCCTGGTGGTTAAGCACCTGTAATCAAAGCTACATGGAGGCACAGGTAGGCCAGCCCAGACAAAATGTGAGACCCTGTCCAGAAAATTAACTAAAGCAAAATACGACTGGAGATGTGGTTTGAAGTGGCATAGCACTTCCCACTTAAAGCTTGAGGCCCTGAGTTCAAACACCCCGGATAATCCCTCTCCCCCAACAGATGAAATTAATTATAATTATATAGTTATATATTATATATTTATTTCATCTGTCTCCCAAAGTGTCACTTCCATGTTTAAAGAAACATAATATTAGGGAGACACTGAAGGCCCCTATTTCAGTCTTTGAACTCTGGTGTGTATTTTTTCTGATGTGTTTTTTACCTTCAGAGCACATCTCCATTTGAAAGGCCACAGGTGGCCCCTGTCCTGGCCAGTGCCAGCCAGCACTCACTGTGGGCCAGGCCTATCTATATGAGGTGCTTCATGTAATTACAAACTGTCCAAGGTAGTATTTTGCCCACTGAAGTTCACATAGTCTGTGGTAAAGGAACCTGAGAGGTGTACACCAAGGCCACAACAGAGCTGCGGCCTGACAGGCTGAGTTCTGCCTGCTGCCTCCACTTGGATCAGATTTCATGTCAAGTGCTTGGGGACACCCCCCAAATCAGAGTCCATGCTCTCTGGGCCTGGGAGATGCTGAGGGGATGGGTAGGGAGACCTGGGGGGAGGGGTCAATACCCCTCACAAGGCCCACCTCGGCAGGTGAGAAGCCCTATGTCTGCCCCTACGAGGGCTGCAACAAGCGCTACTCCAACTCGAGTGACCGCTTCAAGCACACTCGCACCCACTACGTGGACAAGCCCTACTACTGCAAGATGCCTGGCTGCCACAAGCGCTACACGGACCCCAGCTCTCTGCGCAAGCACATCAAGGCCCACGGGCACTTTGTCTCCCATGAGCAGCAGGAACTCCTGCAGCTGCGCCCACCTCCCAAACCGCCACTGCCTGCCCCTGATGGCAGCCCCTATGTCAGTGGGGCCCAGATCATCATCCCCAACCCTGCTGCACTGTTTGGAGGCCCCAGCCTGCCTGGTCTGCCCCTGCCTCTGCCCCCTGGCCCCCTTGACCTCAGTGCCCTGGCCTGTGGCAATGGGGGTGGTATTGGAGGAGGGGGTAGCATAGGTCCAGGGCTGCCAGGCCCTGTCCTGCCCCTCAACCTAGCCAAGAATCCGCTCTTGCCCTCACCCTTTGGGGCTGGTGGACTGGGCCTGCCTGTGGTCTCCCTCCTCGCTGGCTCCGCTGGCGGCAAGGCTGAGGGGGAGAAGGGGCGTGGGTCAGTGCCCTCCAAGGCCCTGGGCACAGAGGGCCGCAAGACTCCCCTTGAAAGGACAGAGAGCAGCCGCTCTCGGCCAAGCCCAGATGGACTCCCCTTGCTGCCAGGCACTGTGCTAGATCTGTCCACGGGTGTCAACTCAGCGGCCAGCAGTCCAGAGGCACTAACCCCCGGCTGGGTGGTCATTCCACCAGGCTCTGTGCTGCTCAAACCAGCTGTGGTGAACTGAACCACCTACCTACCAGCTACAGCAACCCAGCCAGCAGCTGTGGGCCCCATCCCTGACGAACAGAAACTCTTCTGCGAATAGCAATAATCTCCTACTGCCATGGGGACTGGGCGTCTGTGCTCCCCTGGCAACTGCAGCCCCAGATGACTTGGGCAGCAAGGATGGTGCTAGAAGGTCATTGCTGGCTTCCCGGCTTCTGAGTGAGACTTGGCTTGGAGAGCTGTGCTTCTGGGTGCTAAGGCCTCACTCACTCCCATCTCCCTGCCCCGTAACTTCTGTAAGGTCCTCTGTCCTCCACCAGACCCTCAGTCTTGCTTGGCATCCTGCCTTGGAGCCTCCCCCATCTATGGCTAACCTGGGCAGGCTGCCCTCCTTCCCTCCCTACTTTCCTCATGTGATCCCCAGGGATCAGAGGCTCTACCCCCTTCCCCTTGCCTAGGTTTGTCTAGCCTCTTTTCTGAGGCTACTTAGACCCTCTTCCTTCTGACCCACCTGCAAGTTATGCAGGTCTTGGCTAAACTACAGGAAGAAGTGTGTTCACCCTGGCTACCCCTATGACAAGGTGCCTCCCTACTTGGTGAAGTGAGGTCCCGCTCTGTCAGCTGCCCCCATCCCTCATCCATTCTGAATCAGAGCACTGCTGGAGGATCAGCAACACTGCAAAGCAAAGGGATGGCTGACCAGTCACCTGCCCCTCCAACCATGGGAATGTGTAGTAGAGACCCAAAAGATCCCTGTGCTATGAACAGGTGCCAGATAGGCAGCCCTGGTGCTAGGATTCTCAAGTGACCCAGGCCTCTGGTCCAGCCCAGGCTCAGGGAATAGGGAGAGTTGGGTTCGGACCAAACTCTATCCTCCTTACTCCAGCTGGGTCCAACCTGGTTAGTACCACCTTACAGAGGCCTGTAAGGGCATCAGTCTTGCCCAGGAGGTGGGAGATTGGCTGGGGATGTCCCAGGCTGTTGGGCAGCTCCTGGCATAGGGCTAACCAGGTCACAGCATTTTGGGAGGGCCTAGGCTGTGGACTGAAGGCCCTGAGCTTGGCGGGATGAAGGGAGGCAGGGCAGGGAGGGGACACAGCCACTCTGCTTGGAAAAAGCTGGCTGGAGGAAGGAACCTGAACTTGTGACAAGGTTACTTCTGGCTTTTCCCAGCTGAGCCCTTCTAGAAGCATGTTTCCTTCACCCCCACTCCCAGCCAACTCCCCCAGGGCCTATGCTACTCAGAACAGGGACTAGTTCTTTTGCTAGAGCCAGAATAAGCCAAGGACGCTGGAGACCTACATGCTCCACAGCCCCACCACGAAATCCCAGGAAACTGGGCTCTCCACCCAAGCCCTACCCCTCCACCCCACCCCTAGGCCTCTCACTGCTCCCTTCTCTGCCAGCAGCTTCTAGGCCAGCTGTCACTAGGCTGCAGCCCCCTCCACCCCATCTCCCCATCTGTAGAACAAACGGGCTATCAGATGGCAGCAGGGTCTTTGGCCCTACAGTTCCTCTGAGCAGCTCTGCTGACCCCCACCCTTTCCTGGACTGCCCTTCTGTCAAAGAGGGGTGACCTTGACTCTGACCTGGCCCACCCTGCTGCTGGGTTCAGGACCCTGGCCCTGACAGGACCCAGCTGTGCTGGCTCTGCCCCTTGAAGGGGCTGTGAGCAAGGTAGAAGGGAGCTGGTCTCCTTTCTTTGGGCCCACCCAGGACCCAAGCACCCCACCCCTTGCCCCATTAGGGCCCTAGGCCTTAAGTCCCTGGCTTGGGGGTTTTGGGTTTGAGACTCAAGCCCAGGAGCAGAGGAACAGGGCACTGGAAAGTGACATTAGCTCAGCATGTGACTTGGTGATAGACCAGGCTTAGAAGGGCCGGTATACTTGTTGTCAGTTTGTTCTTGCACATTCCAGGATGTCAGTATTTTAACAGGTTCTAAGTGCCTTTCTATTGTAGCTTATGTTTTTCCTCCTCTTGGCTCCATTGCTGTTAGCATAGAATTTTTAAAGAAAGAGATAAGCTAATGACTATAACAATATATTCCTCCATGTGAGAGGAAATTTATAAAGAAACAATAAAAGTTGAGTTGCAAAGATGGTTTCTGTGTGGTGGACATGCCAGAAGCTGGGCTGCCTTACCTTAGGCTACCCCTCCCTATGCCTGGCACCTAAAGGTCCTGATCCAGGACTTTTCTCCTCAGCCCTGCGGGGAACTGAAAGAGGATGGGAAGGGTAGGTACGGAGGGGAGCGAGTGGAGATGAAGATTCTGGACCAAGCATCAGAAAGTTCAGGTCTGAGATCAGCCGCTGCCTGCTGTGTCTGGTGAGTGTACCTGGGTTCAGTTAAAGGCTGACCAAGGCTTCTCCCAGCTGCACACAGGAGCCTTCTGCTCAGCTCACCAAGATGCCAGATCCAATTCCATCCAGGGAGCTCTGGAGCTAGGGACCCTTCACCCTGAGGGAGGGCAGGGGCAGACCTGCAAGTTTCTGGCATTTCTGTCCAGCAGGACACACAGGAAGGAGCAGGAGCAGCTGTGTGACAAACCCCAGCACAGGGTTGCTCACCAACCCATCCATCCCCCTACAACCCTCAGGCTTCAAAGGCTATTACTTCCCCTTCCCCACAACAACTCTACAATGGGCAGGAAGGCAAGCCTACCTCTGGAATTGGGATTCATGCACAGGAGAAATGCGGAAAAGACATTTATTAGCAAGCTATAAATTATGAGGTGGCGGGTGGGGGTAGAGAGAGCTGAGCAGTCATGTTTTAGGCGGCTGCCCTTTCTCTCTGTCCTCCTGGGCCTGGATTCTGAGTTCCTCATCTAGACGCTCCTTTGCACGGACCACCTGGGGAGAGTGGGAAGATCAGGCCCTGGCAGAGCCTCTGCCCTTTGCTCCTTGCCTGCACAGAAAGACCTCTTCCTGTCCCAGGCCCAGACTGCCTCTCTGGAGGGCAGTGGGCAGGCAGAGGATCCTGGAGGAGGCCCATCTTCCACGCTAGCCCAGCCCAGACATCTATACTGGGGTCAGAGCACAGCACCACCAAGTGCTCCTGTTCCTTCAAAGTCCTTGCTGTTGAACTGGGGCAGCCAGAGGAATGGCAATTTGGAAGGAAAGCCCTCCCTGAGGGTGGACACCAGGGGAAAGCCTGCCACAACTTTCTACCTGCCAGCTGCCCTCCAATGAGGAGAGGAGATTCACAGCTTATCCTCCTCACAGAACCAAAGAATACTCACCTTTGATTGCAGGTAGAAGGAGCCGCCCACAGATTTATCATTCACCTTAAATAGGTGTTCATAGTTCTGCAGGGGAGAAAGAGTTTGCAGTTTTTGAGAGAGGTATCAGGATTAGCAGACAGGGAAGCGAAGCTAAAGGGCTTGACCTCTGACTCGCATGCCATGTTGGGCAATACAGGAGGCTACTGTAATCACTGAGGTACAGGACAGTACAGGTGCCACAGAAGGACAGCTCATATGCTGTGGCCACCTGCCTGCTGGGAGCCTAAAACTTCACAAGCAACAGTGGCTCCTCGAGTGTGAGTTAGGCTGACTGCAGCCAGAGCTTCCTTCCCTTTCTGCCAGGCCTCCCCACTCCCACCTTCCAGGAGTGTCTGGTGGCCTCACCTTCTGTACCTCCTCGGGACTCAGCTTAGAGATGTTCAGAATCTGCTGGGCTTCCTGGAGGCTGAGGCCAGAGAGGTTGGATGCAGCTGCAGACTGGTGCCCTGCACGTCCCCGGGCATCAGCTGCTGCCCGGCTGGCTGTGTGGACATGTGGGTGATCGCTCAGCCCTCGGTGGCCCAGAACTCCCTCTGGGCCTTCCAAGTGGGTGGCTCACCCCTGCCAGGTGGCACAGAAGAGACACAGGAACAAAGGTGGCCAGAAGTAACTTCTTTTTTGGGGGATGGAGTGGTGGACAGACATGTCTCATCACTGGAGGATAAACGCAGGGTCTAGCCATCATATCTGGCTACTGGTCCCCAACCTAGACCATGATGACTTTACCCTCCACCCCCCCACATTCCTTTTTTTGCAGGGGCAAATTAGAGAGCTTTAGGCTACTCTGAGAAACAAAAGGAAGCACCAGGCACAGTAGGAGCAACAGCTCTGCCAGGACCTGGCTGCCCAGCTAGTGCTCAGACCACTAAAGCAAGCTACCATGAGTGACCACTTTCCTTTCAATGACCAGGACTTTTCCTTAAAGGATCAGGGAGTAAATATTTTAACTTTGCAGCCAATTAATCTGTGTTGGAATTATACAGTTCTCTTTTTTTTTGCAGTGCTGGGGTTTGAACTCAGGGCCTTCACCTTGAGCCACTCCATCAGTCCTATTTTTGTGAAAGGTTTTTCGAGATAGGGTCTCACAAAGTATTTGCCTGGGCTGGCTTCGAACCATGATACTCCTGATCTCTGCCTCCGAAGTAGCTACTGGTGCCCTGCAAAAAACTATGATTTATTTTTTTGGGTGGGTACTGGGGCTTGCTAGGTAGGCACTCTACCACTTGAGCCACTCTATCAGCCCTTACTTAGCTCTTCTTGAAAGCACTCAGAGATGTGGCTGTGATTCAGTAAAACTTCATTTAAAAAACAGGTGGTGAGCTGGGCATTGGTGGCTCACACCTGTAATGCTAGCTACTTAGGAGGCAGAGATTAGGAGGATTGTGGTTTGAAGCCAGCCTGGGAATAATAGTTCGTGAGACTCTATCTCAAAAAAACCAAAAACCCCCAAAAAAACCATCACACAAAAGGGCTGGTGGAATGGCTCAAAGTGAAGGCCCTGAGTTCAAGCCCCAGTACTGCCAAAAAAAAAAAAAAAAAACCAACCCAGGTGGGCCAGTTTGCCAGTTCCTGTCCTGTACACTCATGTTAATCAGGTCTTACTGGAGTAACCCTCTCCCTTACATAGATAGGAAGGTCCCAAAGTCTGGCACTGCCCCCTACCATGGAAAAATACCCCAGGCTGCCCATGCTGCAGAACCCAGCCCACAGGATCCCTGAATTCACAATTGGCATGATCCATGGGCAAAATGTAACCTGGGAAAACATGATGTGGCCAGGCCAGGGGGAGGGCAGGGGTCCATGCTTACCTGCAAACTCCTGCCGCAGGGCCCGAGCAAAGGCTCTGCCCACCACCTGCACACCCATCACAATGATCTGGGCCAGGTACTTAGCCTGTGGGCAGAGCAGGCACCTGGTCACCAGGGTGCATCACCAGAGCCTGCAGATGTGGGACCCTGGAGATGGCTGCTGAGTGACAGGCTGCTGGGGAACTGAGGGCATGGTGCAGAGCTGCAGCCACAGGCCACCTCCTCCAAAGTGCCTTGCTTTGGGTGGCTTCACTCAGTGAAGTACCCAGAGGCAGACTTGTCCTTCCTTGGTCTTCAGAAGGGCACAGAGAAGCCAAGGCACTGACTTTAGGAACAAACACTGTGGCCTGGGAGCCAGAATATCCCTGCCCTCAGAGCTGACCCCATGCTGACCCATCAGCCTGGCAGGGAAATGAACTCTAGCACAGCAAAGCTATGCAGACCCTAGACTGTATGATTCAATGCTCTGGAGACGTGACCAGAAACACAGAGTCAACAGAGGAGCACTCAGGAATGGCATGAAAATTCTAGAAGATGCTATTTCTCTTGGGCTGGGTCCTGAAGGGTAGGTAGAATCGTGATGGGAGTATTAAGGCTTTCTAGCCAGAGGGGAGGAGAGAAAGCCTAAGGGATGTCCTGGGAGCAGTCTGTGGCTTATGCTGGCTGGAGGTAAGGCTAGGAAGGCAGATGGAAGGAAAAATGTCATTGAGATTACATGTAGATAACGTGTAAAATCAACTGCACATTTGTGCAATGATACAGAGTCGGGGGACATGTGCTAAAAGGGTGCTCCCTGTGGGTTAGTAGTGTAGTAGTGCTCACAGGGCAATTTGCCCTTTCTTCTTGGGGTTTGGTAACTGTCTGGTACTTGGGAGAAGGCGGCAGAGAACAGAGAGCTACAGCGCTGTTTGCCAAGGCATCTATCTCACAGAGGATCCCAGGGTCCAGAAGAGGAAGACAGCAAGCTGACTAGTATCAGTAACCCAATCCAGGCCCAGGAGAGGCTATGATTCCAGTGGAATCCAGACTGGAGAACTGGCCCTATTTGGCTTCCAAGGACCTGCCCTTCCCTGACAGCCAGGACAAGACATGAGTATGACCCATTAGGGAATTAAGTAAACAGAAGTGAGTTTGCCTTACGAAAGTAGGTGAAAATTTCATAAGCCTTGGATTTCATACCATAAAGGAAGCTCAGAGAAGACCCTCCTGTGATCCAAGTCATAGCTGGCTGCAGCCAGCTGTAACAGTGTTTGCTGACTAGGTAATCTCACCTGACTTCTGCCCTCCTTGTCTAAAGCTACTGCCAAGCGTGACAGAAGGCTGTTCTGTCTGACATGCCAGTCAGTGACTCCAGAGGATTCCCTCAGCCTACAACATTCCAAGTGACTTCATCCACATGGAAAGCTGCTGTCCCTCTACTGCCACACCCATCAAATGGCTTTCTAATCATGGGTTAATTTTTCTACTGAGGCTAATGACTAGTGGTACATAATGTACATTAAGAACCGAGCTTGTAAAAGATGTGAAAGACACAAGGAAAACTATACACTTCTGAAGAAAGAGATTGAGGAAGACTATAGAAAGTGAAGAGATCTCCCATGCTCAACATAGTAAAAATGTCGATACTCCCCAAAGTAATCTACATGTTTAATGCAATTCCCATCAAAATTCCAATGACATTCATTAAAGAGATTGAAAAATCTACTGTTAAATTTATATGGAAACACAAGAGGCCACGAATAGCCAAGGCAATACTCAGTCAAAAGAACAATGCAGGAGGTATCACAATACCTGACTTCAAACTATATTACAAAGCAATAACAATAAAAACAGCATGGTACTGGCACAAAAACAGACATGAAGACCAGTGGAACAGAACAGAGGACCCAGATATGAAGCCACAAAACTATAACCAATTTATCTTTGACAAAGGAGCTAAAAATATACGATGGAGAAATAGCAGCCTCTTCAACAAAAACTGTTGGGAAAACTGGTTAGCAGTCTGCAAAAAACTGAAACTAGATCCATGTATATCACCCTATACCAAGATTAACTCAAAATGGATCAAGGATCTTAATATCAGACCCCAAACTCTTAAGTTGATACAGGAAAGAGTAGGAAATACTCTGGAGTTAGTAGGTATAGGTAAGAAGTTTCTCAATGAAACCCCAGCAGCACAGCAACTAAGAGATAGCATAGATAAATGGGACCTCATAAAGCTAAAAAGCTTCTGTTCATCAAAAGAAATGGTCTCTAAACTGAAGAGAACACCCACAGAGTGGGAGAAAATATTTGCCAACTATACATCAGACAAAGGACTGATAACCAGAATATATAGGGAACTTAAAAAAACTAAATTCTCCCAAAACTAATGAACCAATAAAGAAATGGGCACGTGAACTAACAGAATTTCTCAAAGAAGAAATTCAAATGGCCAGAAAACACATGAAAAAATGCTCACCATCTCTAGCAATAAAGGAAATGCAAATTAAAACCACACTGAGATTCCACCTCACCCCTGTTAGAATAGCCATCATCAGCAACACCACCAACAACAGGAGTTGGCGAGGATGCGGGGGAAAAAGGAACCCTCTTACACTGGTGGTGGGAACGTAGACTAGTACAACCACTCTGGAAAAAAATTTGGAGGCTACTTAAAAAGCTAGACATGGATCTACCATTTGATCCAGTAATACCACTCTTGGGGATATACCCAAAAGACTGTGACACAGGTTACTCCAGAGGCATGTTTTATTGCGGCACTATTCACAATAGCCAAGTTATGGAAACAGCCAAGATGCCCCACCACTGACGAATGGATTAAGAAAATGTGGTATCTATACACAATGGAATTTTATGCAGCCATGAAGAAGAACGAAATGTTATCATTCGCTGGTAAATGGATGGAATTGGAGAACATCATTCTGAGTGAGATTAGCCTGGCCCAAAAGACCAAAAATCGTATGTTCTCCCTCATATGTAGACATTAGATCAAGGGCAAACACAACAAGGGAATTGGACTATGAGCACATGATAAAAGCGAGAGCACACAAGGAAGGGGTGAGGATAGGCAAGACACCTAAAAAACTAGCTAGCATTTGTTGCCCTTAACACAGAGAAACTAAAGCAGATACCTTAAAGCAACTGAGGTCAATAGGAAAAGGGGAACAGGTACTAGAGAAAAGGTTAGATCAAAAAGAATTAACCTAGAAGGTAACACCCACGCACAGGAAATCAATGTGAGTCAATGCCCTGTATAGCTATCCTTATCTCAACCAGCAAAAACCCTTGTTCCTTCCTATTATTGCTTATACTCTCTCTACAACAAAATTAGAAATAAGGGCAAAATAGTTTCTGCTGGGTATTGAGGGGGGAGGAGAGGGAGGGGGCGGAGTGGGTGGTAAGGGAGGGGGTGGGGGCAGGGGGGAGAAATGAACCAAGCCTTGTATGCACATATGAATAATAAAAGAAAAAAAAAAAAAAGAACCGAGGTTGTGGGCTGTGGGTATAGCTCAATAGTACAGCACTTGCACAAGGCCCTAAAAAAAGGTCCGCAAAAAAAAAAAAAGGAACCCTCAACAGAAAAAGGAGGTGGCTGTAGCTGGGAACTTCCCCAACCATTCCCTCCACACTTCAAAGTGACAGGTAGCCTGTAGTTCCACTGTCCAGAGCTCCATGGTTACAGGGAAGGCAGGACTGGCCTGTAAAGTTTTAGCAGCTACCCAGGCTGGCCAACTCAGGCTACCAAAGTTCCTTCAGGAGGACTGGGAAAGTTCTAGCAGCTACCCAGGCTGGCCAACTCGGGCTACCAAAGTTCCTTTAGGGAAGACAAAATGGTGCAGTCTTTGGGATCCGTCAGCAAATCCCGGCTGCGTGACTCTGCACAAGTTCTCAATCCCTGTGAGCCTTAGTTTCCTCATCTATTAAATGTGGACAATAACATGGCTGTCATAGAGATCAAATAAGATAATGCCTACAAGTTGACTGGCTGATTCAGTAGAGGATAAATGAATGTTGGTTTCTACTCCCAGTTTCACAAAAACTTGGCAGTGGGTAAGCAATAAGGAGTAACAAGCTTCTTCCAATACAGGTCCTTTGATTCCTCAGTATTCTCTCAGGGAGCTGAAGGAGCAAGGGAAAGGAGCAAGAGTGATGCTGGCTGGGACTGGAATCTTAGCTTTGCTTCTATCTAATTGGGTGGCCTTGGACAAATTACTCAACCTCTCAGAACTGTTTTCTTATCTGCAAAATGAAGAGAAAAATATCCTCCTTACAGCAGGGTTGTGAGGCCCTCAGTAGGCAATGTATGTAAAACCAAGTGGAAAGACAGACAGTGCCAGGTTCAGAGCAGGAAATGAGCAACAGTTTTGTTTCCAGACTACATCCTACTTGTTGTTAGTAGTCTTGTAGCCAGGTGGAGCAGCAAAGCCTCTCATCCACCTATTGAATGAAACCCAAACATTCCCTGAGCACTGGCTATGGCCAGGCCATACTCACAGTGAGGAGTCCTGGGGAGCAGAGCTTTGCCAGCTACAGCCACCACGGGTGATCCAAATAGTCCCTAGCAGAAGGCCTCACAACCATGCCATAGTCCACTCACTGATACTCAGGACAAGAACAAACAACCCATATGGTACCTAACTCCAGATCAAGCAGTGGACAAAGAGCAGAGGTCAGAAGCACAGGAGCCCAATCCTGGGACCCGCTATGGGCAGCACAACTGCTTTCTTAACTGCTTTCTCATCTTGGAAGCAACACGGCACAATGTGGGTCCAAAGCCCTGCAGTTGGGGCAAGGACCAAGACAAGTTGGGAGTGAGGAGGGAGGATTTCCAGGAACGAGGCTTGTCTCATGGACGTTCACAAAGAAAGGAGCCTGGATTCCAGAGAGCACTGTGGGCAGTGCTCCTCAAGGGCCCAGTGGGCAGGCTCTTGGGGTGTGGGAGGAATGCCACTGAAACAAGAAGGGGCTCTGCTCACCCAGAGCTCTGCAGAGAGCTACTGACATAACAATTCCTGGGGCCCTGGCAGCAACCCACATGGTAGGTGCCCAATGTGTATTTGAATGAGTGTACAAAGTGGCTGTCTAGGTACCCACATTTAAACCAGGCCAAACTCAGTGATGCTTTGGTCCAGGCTCTATAGTCTTTCAGAAAGTTTCCAAATACCTCCTAACTCCTCAGATGAGAGAGAAAGCTGGGCGTCCCCCAGTACCCACACATTTCACTACCACCTGCAAGTTCACTCCACTCCCCAGCTTGGCACTTACATCTCTTCTTGCAGTCTCAACTTAGTTCTCTGTTTCCCCACTACCAGGTCAACTCTACTCTTAGGTCAATTCTCACTTTTTTTTTTTTGGCATTACTGGGGTTTGAACTCAGCACCTCATTCACGCTTGCTAGGCAGACGCTCTACTACTTGAGCCACTCTGACAGCCCCAACTCTCACACTTCTTTACTCCTCAATGTCTGTGCTGCTGAGTTCAACTATGGAATGTCCTCCTTCCTGTCCTGATACTGTCAAAAATCACCATCCTTCAGGACTTGGCTCCACACATCACACCCCGTTTCCGGTGTGAAGCTTTCCCCATTTAGACCTTCCCGCAGCACTTTCTCTTTCTAGTAATATACTGTCATATTGTTTTAGTTTACGAACTTGACTGATTTCTTCTTTCGGATACAAACTTCTCCAGGACCACATTCTATTTGGCCTTAAGGGACGCTCAGAGAGAATGTACGTTAAGGATTCAGTTCAGGATCATTGCAGTAATCCTTAATAAATGGCAACGACCATTATAAGGCAGGGATTATGTGGCAAAAACCTATCTTAGCACACAGAAGGAGCTGGGCTCAAACCTGATCTCTCTGACTTCTGTGGGAAGGATGACCCATAAGGATCAAGGATGAGCTTTAGATCTCTGAGGTGTAAAATGGGACAAGGACAGGATGATTTCCTAAGAATTAAGTGGGAATTTACGTAAGGCCTCAGCCTGGCACTTGTAAGCAGTTAGCTGCTCCCTTATCCGTAAGAGGCTCCCAACTGGCCGCGTGGGACTCACTTGAGGAATACATAGGACTTCCAGTGACAGAGGTCAAGAACCCAACTTCTTAAAGGTTTCCCAGGTGACCTGCTGGGTCAAAGGTCTGAGGACTGAGCTGGGTGCCAATGGTTACGTCAGAAGCGCCGCTTTCCCCGTCTCCATCCCTAGTTCAAGTCCCAGGCCGGCGACTTCCTTGAGTCAGCCGCCGAACGGGGATAATGACCGGACGATCCCATCGACGTCGCCGAGCCGCAGGGCTCGGGGGGCCGGCTCGGCCCCACCGGGGCTGCCCACGGCTGCTCGCTCACGTGCGGCTGGGCACGCGGTGACCGGACTTGCCGGGCACTTCCCTTCGGCCAGGACAGCTCTGCCTTCCAGCCGAGCGGCGACTCCCGGCCCCGAGGCCGCCGCCGCCGCTACCACGCACGGTACTCGCCGGTCCCGGACACCCGGCGCGACGCCCCAGAACCTGCTTCCTGCCGGGCGCACGGGACCAACAGCCCGGCCGAAGCTCGCCACCCCGCTCCGACCTGACCTCCCCTCCCCGGCTACAGCCCGCCTTGGGCCTCACCATGGCGGCCGCTCTACCTCAGAGGTGCCGGCTCCGGCTCTCTGGCCCCGCGGGCCGCGCGCAAGGGAGGCCGGCAGGTCAGAGGTCAAAGGATGTAGACAGCGCGTGCGCGAAGCCACTCTGGGCATGCGCGTTACCGCGGTCCCGAGGGCGGAGCCACGCCGTGACGCACACGGACGGGGTGGGCCAGAAGGCGGAGCTTGCTTGGGCGGAGCCTGCCTCAGGTCAGAGAGGGGAATTTGGGGGTGGGGGAGGGGAATGGAGGGGCTCAGTCCCTCGCTGGCCCTCCAGCTGCCCACGCTGGTCGTGGTGCTGTTTCCTCCGTTGATTTGACCAAAATATTTAGGACAAAAACATTATGTAAAATAAACTAACATAATACAGAGTGGGTACCAAGTTCTTGGGAAGAAAACGGAGAACATCAAAATAGGTTTCATTCCAGATTCCTTCTGCCTGGCAAGCTCTTTCGCAGACACCTGAGAGGCTCATTTCCGTATTTTTCAAATCTGTGCTCAAATGCTACCTTTTTCAATGAGGCCCACTCCAACCCCCTACTACACGGCGGTATGCCCTCCATTTTGGGTGGTGGGGTGGGAAGGGGAACAGAGTTAAACAACACACATTTATTTTCTGATGGTTTTTAAGTCTTAGAACTCCAAGGTCATTGTGTTGGTAGGTTGAGCTGCCCGAGGCCTCTCCCCTTGGCTTGGAAGCCTGTCATTTTGCTGAGTCCTCACATGGTCTTCCCTGGCCTGTCTTGTATTTTAAATAACAGGCTCTATTGAGATTACATTCACACACCATACAGCTCACACTTTTAAAGTGAACAACTCAGTGCCTTATAGTATATTCACAGAGCCACCATCTAGTTCCAGAGCCTTCTCGCGTCTCATCAGCAGTCACTCTCCCTGCTGCCTTTCCCAGCCCTGGCACCCATGAACCTGCATTCTATCCCTTTGGAGTTCCCTGTTCTGAACGTTCCATAGAAATGGAAGTCGTACTACATGTGGCCTTTTGTGTCTGGCTTATCACTCCACTCTTGACACCCCTCTATTTTTTCTAAAGCTCTTATCCTGTACCATATTATATAATTCCTTTAATGTTACTGTTTATAGCCTGTTCCCTCCCCAGGAGCAAGGCTTTTATCTCTTTTCTCCACTCTTGCGTATCAAGCAACTGAATCGAGGTGACTGATCTAGGGCAACAGGTCCTAGGCACGGGAATGCTTAATATCCAAGAGTGGCAGGCACTCAGGAATCTTAGGTGAATGGAAGAAAGTTGGGCTGCCTTGGACAATGCTCTTGACCACTGCCTGCCTTCCTTCCTTTCCTCTAACTTTCCAAAGTCCTCCTTCCTTCAGCACCATGCTGAACTTCCACTGGTCAAACATTCTTATCCTGGCTCTCTGTGGTAGGCTCCTTCAGGTTAAATGAGAGCTCCCTTCTCAGCACCCTGGACACCTTTGCCCATGCACCCATCACCTCCTTTCTTCCTAGTACTAGGGTTTGAACTCAGGGCCTACACCTTGAGCCACTCCACCAGCCCTTTTTTGTGATTGCTTTTTTGAGAGAGGGTCTGAGGAACTATTTCCCCAGGCTGGTTTCGAACTGTGATTCTCCTGATCTCTGCCTCCTGAGTAGCTAGGATTACAGGCGTGAGCCACCGGCACGCAGCCAATCTCTTCCTTTCATATAGCTTATCTTCTCAATGGCTCTCTTCACAGTCTGCTTGCTCTGGTGCACACAGTCTGGTTCCTTTGTACAACAAAGAGAATATAAGCTGAAGCTCCTTTTATAAAAGGCCTTGTCTTTCCTGCTCAATACAGTATCTGACCATCTAGAGTTCTGCTGGGCAGCTTGCAGCACTAGAGATATTAGGAGCCAAGTGAGGTAGGGACAAAGAGGAACCCAGGGCCTAACCACTGTCACTCATATTCCTATCCCCTTCTTTCCAGCTTCCCAGAGATCAGAGCAGCATGAGACGTGGCCAGCTTAGAAAAGTTTAATTGCTCAGAACCCCACAGTATGTGCAGGCTGGTCCTTGCAGGACTCACACTGCCCTAATCAGGTCATCAGCTTGGTGAGACCCCTACTCTTGCTGTCAAGCCTGGGAAGCAGGGCAACTATTGTTAGACCCCTGAGGCTGGAGCTGCCCCAAATGGCTTGGTGGGGGGCCAGCCCCCAACACCCTTGACCAGAACTGGGGCAGCAGGCAAGATGGGTTGGCATGTAGTAACTGAGGTGTTAGACGAAGCCAGCCCAGGCTGGAACTGGTCAAAGTCAGCAAAAAAAAATAGGGGAGACATTTGGAAGCCCAGGGCCTGCCCAGGGACATGCTACTGACCCTCTGCCCCACACCCCTTGGTTCCACATGCTAGCAGGTAGCTCAGGAGAAGCAGCCAGTCCCAGAGAAAGCAGAAGTGCAGACGATCCCTGGAGTTGCAGTGGGCCCAGCAGCCAGGAAAGTGCCCAAGGCCAGGACTTCTGGGAGGGATGTACCAGTGCCAGGACCACATCTTCCAGTTTGAAGAGATGTCAGGTGGTCAGGGGCACTAGGTGCCTCTAGGAGGTGACAGCAGCAGCTGAGGCCAGGGATACCCGGTGGGCAGGCTAGTCCTGGGGTGAGAAACCAAGAGGTGGGAGGGAGTTAAGAGAGCCTGGGACAGGAGTGGGTATGCTGCAGTGTACTTGCAAGGAATGGTGTCTGCCAATCCTGGTGGCTGGGCCTACTTATCACTTACCCACTCATCCTCGTCCACCCCTTCAAAAGAGTCCTGGGGTAGTGGGTCCTCGCGGTTTCCCAGCTTTGCCACCATGGCATTCAGCAGCTGTGAGTGGACAGAAGTGTTGAAAGGACTGGGATCCTTGACCTCTAGAACATCAGATTCTATGGTTCTAATCTCAACAATGTCGGGAAAAGAACCACTTCGATTAGAGTCCTAGCAAACTGGAGGGTTTTGTGTGTGTGTGTGGTGCTTGGGATGAAACCCAGAGCCTTGTGGATGCTAGGCAAGCACTCCACCACTGAGCTGCAGCTCTTGCCCGTGTTTTTTTGAGACAGACCATGCTGGCACTGAATTTTCAATCCTCCTCTTCAGCCTCTTGAGTGCTGGCATTATAGGCACATACTACCACATCCAACTTGTTGATGGGTTTGCATTAAAAAAGATACAAAGACAGAGCCAAGACAGAGATACAGAGACTGTGGCATATGGCACCTGTTACAGTTGCTGCTGCCTCTGTATATTGCCTCAAAGGCTCAAAGGCACATCAGGGTCCCAAATGAACTTGAGGCGCCAACCTGAGGCTTTGCTTCAGTTAGGCCTAACCAGGATGATGCCCTTCACTGCCCCCAGCTTCCGACACCCTAGAGGCAGCAGCAGGGGCCCAATGGTCTCCCCACCAAACTCTGGTATGGAGGCGGTGTGACACCCTGTCCTCTTCCTGTCTGAGTTGGGGCTGGAGACCTGGAGAATAACCAAGCACAGCCAGGACTGCCCCCCACACCCCGGTTTGTTCCCCATGGCCAGCCCTCCCCCTTGCCTACCTCTTCTTTCTTTTGCTGGTCTGACTTCTCTTCCAGGTATTGTGCTGAGGATGGCGCCCGCCGGGCAGGAGCTTCACGGGGGGCTTGGCTCACTGAAGTGGGGCAAGGACAGGCATCAGAGAGTCCCCTGGATGGGGCTGCTTGGTGCCGGCCCCCAGGGAATTTCCTGGCAGAGATCCAAGAAGTGGCATAAACAGTTACCTAAGGCTCTTTTCACAAGGCCTGCCCAGGGCACCAGGGTGTGCATGTGTATGTACATATATATTGAGGGCGGGATATGAGGGCAGGCCCTGCCCTCCTAAGGCTTCAGGAGGGGTCTGGCCTGGGTCTGCCTTCTGGGGCTCAGGAAGTTAGACCTGGAGATACGGCTACTCCATCCTTAGGAGAGCCCCAGGTCTCTGGCAGTATGGATAAAGTACTAGACTTGGGCATTCTGCCCCTTCCTCCAGCCCCTGCTCAGCCTTCCCTGCTTCCTCACCCAACCTGGGCCCTTAACTCACCTGGGGTCATGCCTGGGGGCTGCAGGCTGAGTAGTCGAGGCTGCCCATTAGCACCTGCCAGCCAGGCCTTGGCACTGAGCACTGGCTCCCAGCTCATGGCTGTGTTTGGGAACACATCATCCTGGAAGAACTCTTTCTGCAGGTGAAGAAGGAGCTGTTCTGAGACACTGACTAGAAGCCCAAGGCACACCAGCATTGAGACCTGCACTCCTCACACCCCCCACCTTGTACTGGGGTTTCCATGAGTTCCAGAATTTCAGCAGAATAAGGAAGCAGGTGTACCCAAAGAGCAGAAGAGTAGGGATATCTGAGGGCAGAACCAGACAAGAATTGAAGTCCCTGCCAGTGTCAGGAAGGGGTGCTGGTGCTGGAGTTCTTGGACTCAGCCTCACCCGGACTCGGGGCAGCCGGAAAGCCACAGGCTCCAGGGAGGTTTGGCGCAGCCTCAGGCATCGGGCAAACTCCACTTCCCTCACATCACACTCGGTCTTGGGCAGGAGGACAAAGCCCTGGAGGATGAGGAAGGGGGAACTGAGCCAAGAGCCCCTGGCTGAGCACCTAGGACCTCCAGGGTGGAGCATTCTCCCACTAGGACCACAGCCTGCCCCTGGACAGTGGTGTGCTGGTAATGTAAGCAGCTGTCTCTCTGGAGGGAAATCTTGATGTGTAGTGTTGGCCTGTTTCCTCAGAAGGCAAACTTCCACCATAGTCCATTTCAGGCCACCAGCTTGACTCACTGAATGCACAGTTGAGCAGAGATGTATGGTAGTCATCCTGGGGCACCTCCCCCACACAGATCCAATGGGTATGCACGGTCTCAGTGAGATAATCAGGAAATGGTCAAACGGCAGACTGATTTCCATTTTTTTTTGGTGGTGCTGAGGATTGAACTCGGCCTCAAGTTTGTTAGGCAGGTGCTCTCTCTACCACTTAAGCACATCTTCAGCCCTTTTTGCTTTAGGTTGTTTTTCAGATATGGTCTCCTGTTTTTTTTTTTTTTACTTTCTGATGGTATTGGAGTTTAAACTCAGGTCCTCACACTTGCTAAGCAGGCACTCTAACACTTGAACCATGTCCCTAGCCTGGTTCTCCCATTTTTGCCAGGGCCAGCCTCAGATCACAATCCTCCTCCAGTGTAGCTGGAATTACAGATGTGTGCCATCACCACCCGGCTTGTTTGTTGAGATGGGGGGGTCTTGCTAACTGTTTGCCAGAGCTAACCTAAACCCATGATCTTTCTGATCTAGGCCTCTCAAGTAGCTGGATTATACATGTGAATCACCATGTCTGGCCTCATTACCTTGGTTTTGAATAAATTTGTAGGTTTATATAACTTAACTTCATATAGTTTAATTTTTAATAATGGCTGAGTAGTTAACAGCCAGCTCTCCCAGGGGACAGGCACAACTCAAGGCATTCTGACCCCACTACCCCACGTGCTCCTGAACTTCTCCGCATGGCCACAAGGGGGCGGGGAAGCTCTGTGGTCCCAATTGTTGGCAGAAGGATGAGCAGAAGGGGAGTGCAAGCTCACCTTGTGTGGGTCAGCTGACGTGAAGCTGTTGCACTCCAGGAAGAAAGGGGCCTCCGGGAGCAGCTCATACAGGAACACACGGGTGTCGCCCTGAGGGGCAGAGAGTGGGGAGGTGACAGTAAAGTGGCCAACTACACCAGCTCCTGCCCCCACCCCATCCCCCATCTAGCCCACCTTGCCCGTGAGGAGCACCAGGCCGGTGTCAGGGTCATAGCTGGGCAGCAGAGTGGAGGGAGCCACGTCAAGGCTCAGCACTGCAGAGGCACCACTCGCCAGGGCATCAGCTGCATACAGCAGCAGCTGGCGCTCACTTCGGCTGCCAGGGGGCAGGGACAGAAACACGTCCTTAGGGCTGGAGAGGTCTGGAGTGGGCAGTCACCCAAAGCAACTCTCACCCTTTCTGGGCTAAGGAACCTGAGGGCCAGCAGGCATCGGAGAAACAAGTCTAGCCCTCAGAACTGGCCTAGTTGGGGCAGCAGAGTCCCAACCCACTGCTCCCTGCCTCCCTCGTCCTCCCCAGTCCCTGCAGCCTCCCAAGTCAGGACTTCTCCCATCATCCTACTTGTCATTCTCTGCTCCATCAGGGCTGGGCAGCTTCCTGGCCTTTCCACCAAGTCTTGAATGCCCTCTCCTGCAGGTCTTGGTCAGCACCTTGGATAATCCATCCCTTGGGAGGCCTACCCTGATCCATCCTCCAAGGTGCCAGGTGCCCATCTCTCAGGTCTCTCTTGTTGGCCTCGTTCTGTGCTTCCTGAGCATCACCTGTCTTTAGCAGGCTCCTGGGCCTGGCTTTGTCCCCTAGCATCTGACAGCTCATATTCTCATTTTCCCTCCTACTCACCTATCCACAGGCCTATCTGTCTGGTTACCTATCACTTCACCACTCATCTATTCATCTACTCATTTACCCTGCCCCCATTCATCCACCCATCCCGTCACCCATCCCATTATTGAGGAGGGGTGGCAACAGTTTCTGTAGGCCTGAAAGGTGTCTACGACTGTGGAGAAAAGGCACTGAGGAGCTGCATAAATAAGCCCGGGAATGGGGTCCTTGAGTCCTCACCTGTCAAAGCCAGATACCAGCAGACAGCGACCACCACACACCCAGGCAATGCGGGCACCACGGCCTCCTTCAGGTCCTGGACCTTCCTGTTGAGATACAGCACTTGAGGTCCAGCCAAAGTCCCCCCAAATGGGTCTGAGGGCCCATACCCGGTCTATGTGTGCTCACCTGCAAGGGCTCAGGGCCACTCCGGGGCTCATAGACTCTCACATGCCCATCCTTGCACACAGTGGCCAGTTGCTGCCCATCGGGACTCCAGGCCAGACCAAAAATCTGGTGATAGGTGGGGATATGAGAGGCAGCCTTCGGCCGCATGACTAGGACTCTGTCCTGGCAGATGACCTACCTGATCCTGGTGGCCCTGCAGCCTCAGCTGCTCGGCTCCTGCTTGGAGGTCCCAGATGCGAATGGTGAGGTCATAGGAAGAAGAAGCCAGCACATCAGCTGCCAGTGGGTGGAAGCGCAGAGAGTAGATTTTCTCTGTGTGGCCTGGGGAGGACCATTGGGTGACGCTGAGCCCCTTGGGAGCCACAGCCCACCTAGCCCCACCTCCAGTTCCCCCTGACCTGTGAGCACAGTCTCAGGTGTAGTCAGCACATCCTCTAGGCCCCCTGGGGGCACCCGCCAAAGTCGAATCCGAGCATCCTCCCCAGCTGCAGAGAGAGCAGTAGCTCCTCAGTGCTGGGCCCCAGAGCCCTGTCTGCCCTGCCCCCTCAGGATCCAGGGTCCCCCTCAAGCCTGGGGGCCCAGCCTCCTTACCCACAGCAAGGCGGTGGGGGTCAAAAGGGTCCCAAGCCAGATCAGTCGTAGCCACCCCATTCTGCAGCGTGGGCAGCGCTGTGTCGGGCAGGCGACCAGGCTTCCGCAGCTGGGGAGGCACCCCACCCACAGCCCATCAGCATCAGCACAAGACCAGTCTCGGGCTGTACAACAACACTGTGCCTGGGCCCCCACCCTCTACAGCAGCCCCCTGTGCTCTGAGTCCCAGGTGCCAAAGTGAGGCCCCAGAAAGTGAGGGGGCGGCAGCGTGGAGTGGTGCAAAGAGCTCATCTTGGGCTCGGGTAGCCTGGATGCAAACTCAGCTCCACTTACATAGCCGTGTGACTGGGACAGGTCACTAAACCTTTTTGTGCCTCTTCACTCTCATCTGTAAAATGGGAATAAGAAGAGCGCCCACACATACAGCAGCTGGGAGGATTATGGGATGTGCCAGGCAGCTGCCTGACACAGTTTGGACTCAGTGAGCTCTGAACATCCTTGCCAACCGCAGGGGACCTGAGGGGCACCCCTGGCAGGGTGGGGGTCCCTCACCTCAAGCACAGCCACCTGCCCACCGCTGCTGAGTAGGGGCACAGCCACACGCAGCCGGTTAGCACAGAAGCCGTCGCACTCCCCAGGTGTGGTAAGGTTGAGCCCTTTGAGGTTGGTGATGTGGCTATCTCGGTGCAGTACAGTGCCTTGAGCATGGCGGAACTTGGAACTGGGGCCTGGAGGGGACAGAGAGCCACATGTAAGGATGCTGTGCCGTGTACCCTGCATGCTGAATCCCGGCTGCCTGCTACCTTTGCCATGGGAAGATACCAGGCCAGGCCTCTCACAGGCAGTACACATAGTTCACCAGGGACGCTCACCCTTGCTCCTCTGATGGAGACTGAGGTATCTTGGTGTAACCCCAGGGCTCCAGGGACCACTGCAATGGTTCAGGCTACTCTCTGTTTTTACAGATGACCTCAGCAACCCACAGGATGAACGACTGCCAGAAGCCCAAGTCTGGGTGAGTGGGGATGCCCACTCCATGAGGACTTCCTCAGGACAGGGAGACAGAGGACGACAACTGGGACTGGGGCTGTCCTGATCAGCTTACCCAGCAGGCTCTGCAGCGACCTCTGGCTGGGGCTGGTACCAATGCCGCTGGTGCTGGAGAGTGAGGGCCCCAGGCTGGAGGGCGTGGAGGGTGAGGTCAGCGAGCTGGGAGGGGAGGAGAAGCCCTCCTGGGGAGAAGGATCTGGTCAGCCAGCAGGTCCCTGGGTGTGCTGGCCAGCAAGAGCAGGGACAGCTGGCCAACTCCAAGACCACTGCTCTGGACCCCTCTGGGCTATGGATACTGGGTCAGGCATGAGCCCTGCTGTGTAGATGTGGCAAGGGGAGAACGAGCTTTAGGTCATGGGGCAGGTCCTGGCTCCCAACTTTGTGGGTACAGCACTAGTGAGTTACAGCTACCAGTATTTGTAGAGAAGCCAAAAATTTAGTCTATGTGAAGTGCTGCTGGTGGACAACAGAGTTTAGAACACACTACTAGCTGAATGTGGTAGAGCACATCTGTGATCCCAGCTACTCAAGAAGCAGAAGCAGAAACAGAAGCAGGATTGTGAGTTTCAGGCCAGCCTGAGCAGCTGGTGAGACTCTATCTCAAAAACAAAATACAGGCTGGGTACGGTGGCAGCTCATGCCTGTTTTCCCGCTACTGAGGAGACAGAAATCAAAAAGATTATGGTTCAAGGCCAGCCCAAGCAAACAGCAGCAAGACCTCATCTCAATAAAAAGCCAGGTGTAGTGGTTCACTCCTGTCATCCCAGCGAGGACAGGAGGCATAAATAGGAAGATCAAGTCTGAAGCTGTGATCTTCACAGTCTGAAGCTGGACCTGGGCAAAAACATGAGACCCTATATGAAAAGAAAACTAAAGTAAAAATAGCAAAGGGTATGGCTCAAGTGATAGAGCATCTGCCTAGTAAGAGTGAGGCCCTGGGTTCAAACCTAAGGACCACCAAAACAAAACAAACAAAAAAACATAAAAACAATTGGGCAGGTGGCATAACACACCTACTGCTCATTTCACCTCAAAACCTGCTGCTGTGTCACAGTAGCAATGAGAGTGTGTGTGGACTGGTACTTACACTTGGGTCTGTATCAGTCCCAGGTGTCTCCACAGGCTGGGTCATGTCAGAGGAAGGCTCCATGGGGGGAACCAGACAGGAAGTGAAGCTGGGATGGGGCCGATGGGCGGGATTGAGGCTGATCTTCTGCACCTGTGGGGAGGCTAGTGGTTGAGGCTGCCAGTGTGGGCACACATGGGGAAGGAACCCCTGGAAGGGTAGACTAGATGGGGGTGAGGAACAGCAGGCCCAACTAAGTTAGTACACAGCTGGACTGAATGGAACCAGGTGGGAGTGAGAACCAGGCTTGGCCCTACCTGCTGGTTGCTTCCAGTCCACCAGGTGTGGACATCAGAAGCAGGCACACAGCCAGCGGTGTCTGGAAACAGGTCCTCATGGAACTCCACAGCCTGGTGGCAGACAGGCAAGTGGTTAGTGACGTCTAAGTCTCCCAGGCCTCCAGCTCCTTGCCCAGATCCCCTTACCTTTCGGGGCACATGGTGGCTGATGGGTATGATAGCTGTATCACTCAGCTGCAGGACACGGAGTACCTCACAGCCCATGACAGTTAGTGCCCGCCGGGGAATGAGGGCTGCTCCCCGAAGCACACTCTCCAGCACGCACTGGGTCACTGTCAGGAACACCATGGGGAACAGTAAGGAGGGAGGAGAACCAGAGGGAAGAGGTACGGGGGAGCAGGGGCTCACCTGGGCTCAGTGCTGGCTGCTGCAGGGTCACCTCATAGCAGTACAGCTGACTCTCGCCCTGAAACAAGCCCAATCTGAGTTCCACCCATCGACCTCGCCCTGGTGACCTTGGTCTGGCACCAGATCCTATTCCTCCCCAGAACCACTAGCCACAGAACCATGGTGGCCATCTAGGAGCAGTGACTCTGCACCTGTGGCAAACTTCCCCTCACTTGCTCACTAGCACCTCATGCGGTGAGCACTGGGAGTACACATTAGTAGTTACATGTTCTCAGCCTTGTGCTCCTGCCTTCTAGGAGTCACATCACCACATCTTGGTTGCCCAGGTGAAGATGTCCCCAGCAGCAGGGAAGCTCTCAGGCTTGGCCTACACTGTTCTCGTTCCTCCTCTTTAGGGGGACAACAAGGAGGGTGCCAGCATGAGGGCCTCTGAACTTGCTCACCTTTCCTGCCAGGACCAGGAGCCCAGAATCTGGATCCAGCAGGGGCATCAGAGACCTGGGGAGAGGGTCAGGGAGCAGGATGATGAATAAGGGGCAGCAAGAAGGCCATGCATTATGTGACCTCAGGTCAGGGGCCTGGAAAGCACCAGAAGTCACTCAGTTCTTCCAGCCGTGTCCAGCCTGTCTCCAAGGAGCCTCCAACTCCTCTCCTAGCACTGTCCACACACAAAGCCCAACCCCATATCCACTTGCTTCCCTGCAGGACCCGTGTTGGGGCCCGAGGACTGGAGACCTCAGGCCTGACCTCCACACTTCCACACCAGGCTCTTCTGAGAAGACCTCATATACGTTTTGTCCTGTTCCTCCTCAGCCAGTGTAGACATCAGGTTGGCATGGCCAGAAGGGTGAGGAGAGGGCAATGCTAGAAGCAGGAATGCTCCATCTCCACCCAGTGCTATCTGAGGACACCTACCCCAGCTGTTTCAGGTCTGTACCGAAAGTAGCACCACCTGCTCCGTCACCCCACATGCTATGGGCCACAGCATGTCCTAAAGACTCGCTGTCCCTCCAAGTAGCCTCCAAGTGACACTGGGGAGAAGCGCTGCTGGACTTCCATCTCCAGGGCAGCAGACCAGACTTAGTGGGCAGGATGCTCTCATCCCATCCCTGAGGTGGTAGTTATGGCAGAAAGGGATAATGGCTGGGAATGTGGAGGGTAGGCAGGATTCCCCAGGCCCTTGCCACCCTATGCTGGGCTACCCTCTACCAACTGCATGTGTGACCAGGGATTTGACCTGGGCAGGGATTCATACCTTCCTTCCCTGGGCCTCTGAAGGCCCCTTACTGTCTGCTAGGCCAGTGAGCACTGCCTTTTGATTCCAGCATTTGGGGAGGGGCATCTGGGAGAATTTAGAAGGGAGCTTTTTTCTGTTCCTGCTATTGTTTCAGTGTCTTGTCCCTGGGAACCCTGGGCCTGTACCTCCACCTATACTCACCTTTATACATTACCCTACCTCTCCAATCATCCAGATGTGGTGGCTGACTTTACCCAGGAGACAAGGGGCCCAGCCTCCCCCTCCCTGCCCACCAGTCTTCTGCCAGCACCAGAGTGGGTGGAGAGCTGGGTGGGGTCCTGTGTCTCCACAACTTCCTGGAGGGCCCTGGGCTGGCCACCTGTGAGTAACACAGGCCTAATTACCTAGGGCCAACAGGGTAAGCCAGGCTCAGCACTGCCCTTCTTAACCCATCCTGACCACCGCCTACCACAGTAGAGGGGACGAGAGGTAGAGTGTGGCCTGGGGATGCTCCATGCTGAGGCACCATTCATTACTTTATGATTGTTCCTTGCCTTGGCCATTAGTCTGCATCTAGCCTGGCATGCTGGTATGACCAGAGGTGAGTACAACAAACACCATCCCCGTCCTCAAGACGCTCACAGCCTGGTACAAGAGGCAGAGACAACTCTATTCTCTGAGGATGTACAGCAAGGGGCAGGGTGATGGGACCTTGGCTGGGCCACTGTGGAAGAGTCTGTTTCCTACAATCCCAATGTTAGGGAGAAATCAAACATGCCATAGGGAGAGTTCTAGAGAGAACAGCATATACAAAGGCCCTGTGGCAGGTGGGTGCAAGGCCCTTTGAAGATGGGAAGGGCAATATACCCGGTACTCTGAACAGTGAGGTGATGGGTAAAGACTTGGACAGGGGTGGGCAGAGTCAGCTGGAATGGGGCCTGGTACATCAGGAGGGGAGTTCTGTCTCCAGTGGGTAATAAGCAACAAAAGGCTGGTGGTGTGTTTGCTTGTTTGTTTTGTGGTGCTGAGGACTGACCCCAAGGCCTTGTGCATGCTAGATAAACACACTCTTACCTCTAAGCTATCAGCCCCTGATGGTGCATTTTAAGCAAAGGCAGGGTAAGAGCAAGTTGGCACTGAGCAGGAGTCATGCTGTATAGGGACAGGCCAGAAGCAGTGGGAACAAGGAGTAAAACAGGACTCAGGGCCAAGGCTGAGAGCAAGTGGACTGGGTAGGGGCCCATGTGGCCCTCTGCTGCCTGGGTAAGAACAAAACAAGAGTCTTGTGGGTTCTACTGTGGCACTAATGACTTCCCTGCCCTCTAAACCCACCTCCTGAAAAAGCCTGGACTGGCCTCCTCTCATGGTGCTGCATCAGCTTCTGTCCACTGACTCAGGTGCTCAGGCAAGGTATGGGGGCAGGAAGTCACAATGGGCAGGGCTAGCTCCTCAGACAGGTCAGGCCAGTCCTCCTCGCCTCAGGCAGAGCCATCTGGGCAGCTCTGCCAAGCAGGAGCATTCTGCTGTCCATGGCACAGCATGTGTCAGGAAATGGGGTCACAACACGCAGTACCAAGAGTTGCAAAAGATGGCACGGGCCTGACCCTGGGCCTTGTGAAGAGGTATGGGTCTGGAATGCAGAAGGTGTGCCCTGAACTGGCTGAGAGTCAGAGGTGGTAAGAGGCGGTGCTCATGCCCCCCCCACTGCCATGGCTTCTGGGCCTGCCACCTCCAATGGCTCTGACCCAGGTCCAGTGTCAGTCATAGAAGGTTAAGAGCCCAGATCTGTCCCTACCCTCCATCCCAGGACAGAGGACAATGGTGGCACCAACTGGCTCAGGAGAGTGGGCTTTGGCCCCTGATAATGTCACCAGTTCTTCCAACTCTCCTGCCATGAGCAGGCAGTAGAGGGACCAAGGTGTGCTTCTGGGAAAAGCAGTCAAACTCTTCCAGTTCTCCTCAACCCCAGACATCTTGAGCCAAAGCAGTCCAGGTCCCTTGGATCTGTCCCTGTCACCCAGGTTGGGTGGTCAAGGCCCTTGGGTCAAGGCTGCCCCATTCTCCCTGCCCCTCCTTCCTTGCAGGATTTCTGAGGGGGTTAGTAGCTTGAGAGCAACAGGAAAGACTGGGCAAGCTGGTGAGGTCCCTGGTAGCTGCTGAGAGCCTCTGGGTGGATAGAGACCCACATGACCCCAGAGCCTTGATTAGGGCAGGGGTAGACATCTTACTCAGTAGGTGCATGCATTTGAGCAAGAACTGACCACATAAGCAAAGGGCTTGGAGGCCACCAGGAAGTCCTGTTCTTGTGAAATACCAGGATGGAGTTGCTGTGACACTACCCCTGGTGGGGCATCTGTGGATATTCCCAAGGGCCTCTGAGAACTTAAGGGCTAATAGAAGAGGCTTAGGGATAGTCTGACCAGAAGTCACACAGCGCTGATTACAGACACAAATGCTTCTGGGTCAGGCAAGAAACTCCAGAGAGTGAAGAGCCTGGAGACACAACAGGGGTTGGTGGGGACTGGGGTGACCTGTGAGAGATTTGGCCAGAAGGGCAGCTTCTACTCAGCTCTAGCAGAGACTTCCTGTTCAAGGCAAGCTGGGAAGTCCCTTTATAGTATGAAACCACCTGATTTTTTTCAAGGCTGGCAATGGCTTCAAAGTTTAAAACCTGCCCTATGGGCCACACGAAATACACCCGGGGGTCAGCTCTGCCCAAGAGAAGGGATTTCCCAGGTCACGTCCCACATCCACAACACGAGAACGTGTGTAGTAAGGAGCCTCATCGGTCCTGCCAAAAGGACCCTATGGAGGCCAAGGAGCAGAGAGATGTCTGGAAGTTCCAAGCAGACCCTGCTTAGCCCCTCATAACAACTGAGACCACTGTCCCTTCTGGAGGCAGAGTCACCCAGAGACTATACAAGTCCCTAGCTGATGTGGTCCAACCTCCAGGACAAGCCCCACGTCCCCCAAAGACTCAAACTGCCTAGCCAAAGGCCTTGGCTGCAAACCAGGCAGGAGGGGGGTACGATGTCCGGAAGCTGGGAGCTTAACTGGGTCCCCAAAGACTCTGAGGCATAACTCTAACCACAAACATGGGAGGGAAGAGGGCAGAGCATTTTCCTGGAATCCTCCAAGTCAGGGGATTTTTCTGGACTAGTCCAGCCCTTGTCATTTGCCCCTCCTGCTCAATCAAGGGCCACTGTCAACTGAAGCCCAAGTCCCACCTACTGTTGGTGAGGTTCCCACCCACCCCCATCCCCCCAAGCATATTCTGGACTTGAAGCTGCCAGTAGCTGTGAGGCCTTAGGCAGAGAGCCACTTCCCTTCCTGTGTCTCAGTCCTTCACTTAAAAGGTGGAGAAGGGGCCCAGGAATGCTCCCTGCCATGAGGCTGTGATAACTGCAAGAACCCCAAATTCACTATTAGAGTCTGTACTTAGGAGGCTCTAGGAAGGACTTTGTATGGCCTTCCCATGAGTTTTGAAATTGGGATTAGCTACCAACAATGCCACATTGAGAAACTGCACCTAAAATATCTGGATTTTGAGTTCTCTTGAAAAGTCCTGAGCTCTGACAGGCCGTGCTGGTCATGGGAACTGACCCCTTACCCCAGTGCCCTACTGTTTACCTCTGCCTTTCAGGTCTCCAAAGGCCCTGGGGTTCCCTTCTTGCATTTATGTTACCTGTCTAGGGTCTCACAGGCATCTGTGTCTGACTCTTTTTCGCAGTACTAGGGTTTGAACTCAGGGCCTCAACTTGCTAGGCAGGCGTTCTACTGATTGAGCCACTCTGGCAGCCATTTCTTGCGATTTTTTTTTTTTTAAGCTTTTTAGAGAGGGTCTCACAAACTATTTGCCTGGGGCTAGCTTTAAACTGCAATCTTCCTTATCTCTGCCTCCCGGATAGCTAGGATTATAGGCATGGGCCACTGGTGCCCTGCTCTGTGTCATGAATCTTAGAGGCATTTAGTATTTTTTTTTTTCCTTCTTTCCTTCCTTCCTTCTTTTTTTGGCAGTAATGGGGTTTGAACTTAGGGCTTCGCACTTTACCACTTGAGACGTTCCACCAGCCCTTTTAGTGTAGGTATTTTCAAGGTACGGTCTCACTAACAAACTATTTCCCCAACTGGCCTCAAATGGCAATCCTTTTGATCTCTGCCTCCTGGATAGCTAGGATTGTAGGCATGAGCCAGTGGTGCCCTGCTCTGTGATATGCCTCTTGGCTCATTCAATATTTGCTTTCTTTTTTTTTGGCAGCCCTGGAGTTTGAACTCAGGACTTCACACTTGTTAGGCAAGTGTTCTACCATCTGAGCCACTCCACCAGTCCTTTTTTTGTGTTAGGTATTTTTGAGGTAGGGTCTTCCCAAACTATTTGCTAGGGCTGGCCTTGAACCGCAATCCTCCATATCTCTGCCTTCCAAGTAGCTAGGCTTACCCGGCCCCCTATTAGGTTTGAACATGCTAGGCAGGCACCCTATCACTTGAGCCACGCCTCTAGCCCTATTTGCTTTTCACACTAAGAAAAGCAGGAATCTACTCACTGTCACACAATAAACTAGGGACAGACGTGTTCTCGAGTGTACTGACTTCCTATGAAGCAGGGTAGTCTTTCCTTGCAGAGGTCGCGAGTGGTGGGTTGAAGACCTGGCCAACCCGGTTGGATAATCACCTCCCCCCCCCCCACACACACACACACACACACACACACACACACACACACACACACACACACACACACACACACACACACACACACACACACACACACACACACACACAGAGACCCCCCCCCCCACGACGGACTACCGCCCGACCAATGGGGAGAGGTCCCGCCCCCTGCCACAATGGCCCCGCCTCCTACCCTTAAAGACGGACCTGCCTCTGGCGGGCAGACTCCGGAGCCTGAGCCCGGAGCGGCGAAACGCGGACGCGGCTGCCTCGGGACCCCGGGACCCAGGACCCCCTAGGGCCTGGCCGGCCGCGAAGGACTAAGGCCGCGGCCCGCCTGGCTCCATCGGCCCTGCTGTCTCTCGGTGAGTGTCGGCCGGGCTGGGGGAATTGGGGCGGGAACGGGGGGCGCCAGGAGAGCTGCGTACACTCGCCGTGCACGCGCGCGGACCCACGCCGCGCGCACACGCACTGTCCGGCGGGACGGCGGCCCCCAGCCTCGCACTGCTAGTTACCTGGGGAGATTACTTTTCCCCAACCCGCCGGGCGTGCCGGGGCGCCGCCAGCCCTTGGCTGGCCAGGGCGCGCGTGTGTATATGGTTCACCGGCCGGCTAGGCTGCGAGCAGACAAAATAAACACCCGCTCCCTCGCTTCCTCCTCCCACGGCTGGGCCCTCTGGCATGACCAGTTTTATGAATCAAACCCCTTTCAGGGGATGGCTCAGCAGTAGTCTTTGGTTACTTTTCCCTCCCCGGTAATACAGTCCAGTGGCCCCATGCAGACCGTCTGCCTGGAGTCCTCTGGGCCTTGTCATACATGGCAGAGCTGGGGGTCACTTATGTGCAGCCCTGGGGAAGAACGGGGTGTGGCTAATAGGTAACCCCCCCCCCCACCACCACCACCGTAAGGGATGGATCTTGGCTGGCCACAACTCTGAAGTGTTCCAGGTAGCAGAGTGCCCCACCCTCTGCCTGTGCCAGGAAAGAGACTTTGGGCTGCAAACCCAATGGCCTATAACCAGCCTTGTCCGTTGTGTCCCTGGACTGGTAGTGCTGTGACCTGAAGACTGCTGAAGTTCCCTGTGGTCACTGGCAAATCATCTGATTGGTGCCAGCCATTCTACTTCACCCCATTTACTCTTACACCAGAGTCCCTGACAGCTTCTCTGCTGGAGCCCAGGGGTGGGGCCTGCAGCGTGGAAGAGGCCCTGAGGGTCCAGGTGTCCTGTACTTGTTTTTGCACCACGGGCAGGTGAAGCTCCAGAGAGAGGCACCAGCACCTAGATCCTACCTCCCCAGGCCAAGAACTGGACTAACTCCTAAAGGTTCCTTTCTGCTAGGCTGGACTTTGAATGTTGAGGGCATAGAGGTGTGGCTGGGCTGGTGCCCTCCAAGTGGGCTCCATTAGTTGGCCCAGCGGGCAGTGAAGTCCAGTATGGGCCCAGCTGTTGATAAAGCCCAACAGAGCTTGGGCAGGCGGGTTGGGGGGATGGAAGAGCAGTCCCTTGAGTTTACTGTCTTCTCCTGGGGGAATCAGCCCCTGGAGCTTCTGTAAACAGAGTGTCAGAGGCAGGAAGAGGGCTCTGGTAATGAGCAGCCCAGCTGGATTCCCTCCAGACCATTATCTAGTCTCTTGGTTAAGGGAGGGAAAGGACACAGGAGAATGCGTGCCAGCCTGGGGGCCTGTCCCCACCTCCCTCAGCCTAGTGGAACTGCACATTGGAACCACCACCCGAGACCTGTGGTTGGGAGTGAGGTAGTGGGGATGGTGTCCCAGGGCATTTGTACAGTGACACCATTCTACATACTCTGGAAATGGGAGAGGGGGTTCTGCAAGGAGCCCCTCAGACACTATGCAGGCCCGTGCTGTCTCTGGAGAGGTCCCTCTGTCAGGCAGTCTGGAGCCAGACTGGCTCCAGAGATGCTGGGCAGGAGGTGATACACAGTTCTAGCTTCTATTACCGACACCACTTAAAGCCATGAGGGAGCTAGGACAAATCCCAGGGAGAGTTAAAGTCCTTGGGGATTATAAGTGGACCCCACCTCTGGGCTGCACAGCTCCTGGGAAGAAGATAGTGGGGCCCCCGCTGGGCCCAGGAGGCAGCTTCCACCTCAGCAGCCCAGCCAGACAGTCCCCCTTGGTTAGCAGAAGAAAGGCTGCCCACAGAGGCATCCTTGACCATTGGCAGGTACTGAGCTCATGGGAAGAGGGTTAGTGATCCCTCCCAGAGCCCCCTCAGCTCTCCTCAGAGCCCCTCCCTGGGCTGGGGAACCCAATGCTCTGTGTTGCCAAGAAAACCAGTTCCCCTCATTGCTATGGAATTTGCGTGAGTTCTTGGAGAAGAGGGAGGGAGGGAGGGAGTGTGAGTGTATGAATGTGTGTGTGTGTGGGTGTGCGTCTGGTGTGGGCGTGTGTCTGTGCGCGTGACTGCAGCGGGGGCTGTGTTTGGTGCGGGCAGGGGTGCTTCAGGGAGTCAGTGTGCAGGGGAGGGGCCCAGCCTGGGCTCAGCCTCCTTCCTTTTATCGGTTTCCACATTCCAGAGTCAGCCGGCTTGCTTTCCCCAACCCCTCAGCCTGCTGTCCAGGCCCGCAGGCCTCCCCCGCTTTTCCTCATTCCAGCCTCCCTGGGTGTGAGGAGGCTGGAGGAGGTTCCTTCAGGCCACCATGGTTTTGGTGGGGGGGGGGGAGGGCATGCAAAGGACCAATTCTTCTCTAAGGCTGGGGATAGCTCCCCCACCATATTCTTCCTGGGGAAATGCAATAAGGGTCTGGCATTCCTAGAGGCTGCCTGAGAGATTTCATTAAGGAGGGAGGAGGGAGGAGGGAGCTGGCCTGCACTGACATGGAGCTGGGGCGGGCTAGAGCCCTACTGGCTCTGGCCCCAGTGGCTAGGCAGCAGTGACAGCTATGAGGGGGAGAGTTGAGGCCCAGTGACCAGGTCCCACCTACTCAATGACCAGCTCACAGGCCCCAAGAAGGCCACTTGTGCTATAGAGTGGCCAGTAGGACATGGCATGGTGGGTGTGAGACGGGTAAGACTCCTCTGGGGCCACTCCTTTCCCAGACTCCTGGACCCAGGCAGCAGCAGGCTGGGGGCCTTCTCTGGTGACTAAGATATTCTTCTGGCAAGTTCAGGGTTAATTGTAGGGTTGGAGCCTTACTAGATGGATGTTTGGTCCTGGGTGGGGACAGGGCCCAGCCCCAGTGGCATCATACATGCCGCGTGCCGACAGTGGCGTCTGGACTGGCCCATTTCTAGTTGGGCCACAGCCACCACATAGCTCCTGGGGCCACAGCCATCCTTGCCCAACAGGTGGCCCCTCTCCTGGCTGAGATGACACGTCCTGCCACCCTGAGGGCTCACTTGGGCTGGGGAATGGTCTTAGTCACTGGTCTCCCTGCCCTGGGCTGACAGGTCTGGCAGTAGCCAGGTCACCCACAGTGCCACTGAAGACACTCACCTGGGGCCAGGCCAGCCTCCTAGGAGGGAGAAGGAGGGCCCAGCTGACAGCTCCTTTACTCCTGCTCTAGGATCTTGTACCCCTTCCCTGGAAGACAAGCTGATGTCCTGGTTGTTCCTTTCGCCACCCTCTGGGTGTGTGGAGGACTCAGAAGAGCTTTCCGAAAATATAACTCTGCCTGGCCCTCATGGAAGTTCTTATTTAATTGGTCTTCTTATTGGGTAGAACCCAGGGCATTAGGATTTTAACAAGCTTTCTGCAGCTGAGGTGGAAAATCCCCTAAGGGTTACAGAAGTGCACAAGGGCAGGAAGCTGGGATGAGGTCACAAAGCTGGCAAAATGAACAGAGCCCGCCTGGGGACCCCTTGGCTTAATCCTCCTGGGTTACAGACCCCACCTGGAGAACAGGCCCAACCAAAGCAGCCTCCAATGCCCTTTGTGTGAGTACCTAGGACAGAGACCCTGACCTCTCTGCCCTGCTGGACCAGGGGCTGCTTTTGTCCCAGGGAAGGCGAGATGAGGTGGACCCAACCAGGGCGCCTTGAGCCTCCTCAGACACGTCAGCAAAACCAGAGCCAGCATTCTGGCCGCCGGCACGGTCCCGCCTGCCTGGGGGTGTGGGGGGAGATTGGCAGGCTCCTGGGTCTGGGCTGCTGCCAGGCCTGGCCGGCAGTGTAGAGCCCAGGCAGGCTAGCACCAGGAGGCAGAGGCCTGGGGCCAGACCTGAAGGGTCCAACCCTCACATGTACTCTGCAGTGACTGGCACAGGAGGGGGTTGTAGGCTCTGTCTATCTAAGCTCTCTTCCACTCAGCTGGGCACATGCTCTTCCCCAACAGCAGGGAGATGCACCAGTCCCAGGGCTGATGTGGTCACCCAAATGCCTGGCTTCTACCCCACCCACTCTCCTGTCCTGTCTGACCCAGGGCATGTGTGTGAGTGGGTACCCACAAGTGTGTAGCATACTTGGGGTAGGGGCTCTCCGGGTCCCCCTGGGAGCTGAGATGACGAATTCTCTTAGTCTTCCTTACTCACACAGTCCCTCCCAGAGGTCATATGTTGCAGGCCAAAGGACAACTCACCCACTTTCTAAGGGTATCCCACCTCTCACTTCCCCACCATCCTGAGTGTGGAGGGCAATCTTGGCATGAGTCCTTGACCATGGGCCCAGGGCTCTCCTGTGGGTGTGAAGGTGGTGCCCAGTCCCTTTCCCAGGTGGCTTCCTTCCCTGGAAGCAGGCAGGGCTCGGAGTTTACGGGTAACACCCTCAATAGCTAATGTTTACCCACTACTTGGCAAGTGCTCTGAGTACAAACTAAAACACCCTGGAAGCAGGCACTGTGACCAGCCTCCACATCACAGATGGGAGTTGAGGTGGGCGTTGTGGCTGCAGCCGGCTGAGAAGCCTGGCAGTCAGACCTAGATACCCCATCCTGTGCACTGGAGAACCCAGACCTATGCATCCTGCTTCTGTCCACCATCTCACAGTAGGGCCAGGTCAAGGTGAAACCTGAGTAGTTCAGGGGTTGGGGAGAGGCCTGAACCCAGTTACTGCCCCCCCCCCCCAAAAAAAAGCCCAGGGCTGCTCCATAACTCTCCCCACACCCTTCACAGAGGACAAGATCTCCCTTCCCTGGCTGAGTTCAGGGATCAGATATCAAAGCGAAGGTCCTGGTCCTGTCAGAGCCCTGTAATCACTGCGCAGCACAGGGCAGCTGTGATTTCAATGAGACACCCCCGATGCATACATGCACACACACCAGGCCTGGTGCTCCCCTCAGGCCCAGGCAGGCAGAACATTCTTCCAGAACTTGTTAAAAACTCTGTGCTTAAAAACAAACAGAACAACAAAACAACTGCAGAGAATGAAGGGGGCAGAGCTGCTCATACCAGCTCTGCAGACGAGAGGCTGAGGCCCACAGTCAAAGAGCTTGGGAATCTATACAGCAGCAGAACTTGGGCCTGAACTCAGGCCTCTTGTCTCCTGTTGCTCCACACCAGTCTGTCCCCTTCATGGTCAGTGTTCATCCTATCCAGGTTCCCTCCAGGGACTGCCTAATCTACTCTTGGTGCCACAAATCCTATGGAAGAGCCTCCTAGCCACCAGACTGCAGCTTATAAACTCAAGTTTTTCAGAGCCCTAGTACCAACTCCTGCCTCAGTCTCCCCTTGCAGGGTAAGGTAGAGCTAAGTAGAGGAGCTCACCCTGCATCTTGGGGGATGGGAAGCAGGTTAGCTGCTGCCTGCCAGGTCTCCTTCACCCAGGACCCTGGTCCCTCCTAGCCTGACCCAGCCCCATTTCCCACCAACTCAGATGCACATTCCATAGGGTATTACCTGCCAGCCAGGTGGCCATCCTATGGCCAGACAGACCCACAGTGTTTTCTCCCTTCCCCCTTAATGACCACTGATTAAAGGCCCAACAGATTAGGAAGCCCAGAGCCCACAGTGGGTCCTCCTCCTCCCCAGCACATGTCCTAAGCCTGAGGGCCTGGCTGGACACTTGATGCTAAGTATTTTACATGCACTCTGCCCCATAGCCCTGAGATGTACTGAGTGTACAGGAAGTGGTAAGAGTCACTGTCTTGTGTCCTCACAGCTTGGACACCTCTGAGCACAGAGCCGTCTGCCTGGATCCAGCGCTCTTAACCATGACCTTATATGAGGCCCACGGGAGCTAAAGCAGCAGTGTGGCCAGGCCAGCCACGCGTAAGGTCCCCTCCCACCTGACCCTGGCTTGGCCCTGCTGAGAGGGCTGATCCAGAAAAAGGCACGCCACCTCCACAAGGACATGGGGTGGGTGGGGGTCACTTAGAAGCCCACATCTGGAGGCCATGTTCCACCCACTGCCCTCTGAGTCAGTGAGGGTGGAACAGGTCCTGTGGGATGAGGAGGCTGGGGGTGTAGCTCATGGAGCCTTAGGTCATCAGACAAAGAACCCTCATGGGACAGGCACCAGCAGGGCTAAGGACACCAGAAGCCCTCCAGATTCTGGTATCTGCTTTATCTACTGCTCAGTGCAAGGCCCAGGCAGTTCACTCCATGGGCACTGGAGACCACAGAGCCAAGACAGATGGGGTCTCCATCTCATGGAGGTGCCCAGCACAGTCAGGTTATTAGAAAGTACTCATCAGGAGTCCACCCATAGGGTGAGAGAAGACCAAGGGCGTCCAGGCCAGAGGTTCCTGGGGGAGACAACCTCCCTGGCGGAGGAAAACTTTACATAGGCAGAGTATGGGCCCAACCTTGGCAATGGACCTCCCCTTTTATCTAGAGCTGGCCCAAGACCCCAGGAACCTAACTCGTCTGTCCTGGGACCCCCTGCTTCTCTTCCTCCTCACATTCCCTGTAACTGGGGGCGGGGGAGGGTGAAGGGAACCTCATGGACTGAGCAGGGGGTAGAGGGAGGCTGGGTAGGGGTCGTGTTACCTGCTGTGGCCATGTGGGGGAGGGGAGGACTGAGCTCCAGCACAAAAGGCCCTTGTGTGAGCAGCAGGCATCTGGAGAGGGAGGGGATGCTAGCCACTGGGCTGGACTACCTGCCTGGGGACAGGCTGCTGTCCCCTACAAGGTCAGGGAACTCCTGGGGCACCCAGAGTGAGAGCTGTGCAGGGGTATGGCCTCCAGGCTCTCCTAGGAGTCTGAGTGAAAGGGTAAACTGTGGACCTGTCTTGTCTTAGGCAGTTTCAGCTAGGAATGGGAACCCCTAACACCTGGCAGATCGTCGAAATGTGGGGCCCTGCATCTGAAGGGTATGGACACTGTCCCAGGGGCAGAGGGCAGACCCTGCCACAGTGGCTATAGCTAAGGCCCTGGGCTCCAGCTCAGACTCTTTGGCACTATTCCTCTGTTACCTGGGAGTAGTAAGAGCAGCTTCCCCCTAAAATGGTTGCTGGGGGACTAACAGATGGCTGCATGCTGAACAGCACAGGCTTGTGGGAAGGACAGGTCACCGTCACTGCTGAGGAGACAGCTGCTGCACATCTTTCTCAATGCCTGTGGGGCTTGTCCTATCTAGCACTCCCTCCAGCTACCACCACATACCAATATCCCCTGCCTGAGCCCCAGAGGCCCCTCACCTCTAGTTCTATTGTAATGCTTTTAGGGGCTAGAGGCATGTCTCAAGTGGTAGAGTACCTACCTAGCAAGAACAGGGTCCTGAGTTCATATTCCAATAGCACCAAAACCAAACTAACCCACTATATCATCATGCTTTGAGAATTCTGAAGAGGCAAGCTTTTCCCCTTCCTAAGACAGGGGCACCTGCCAAGAGCTGCAGTCAGCCTCTGCCCCTCCTTCAGCACTCTTGCTGCTGGCCACATCCTGGTGGCCCATAGCCTCCATCCACCCTAGGCAGGTCTGGTCTGACTGCACAAGTGGAAAAACACAGATCCCATAGTTTCCACGTGAAGTCTTCCCTGCTGCGGTCTCTCTTCACTGCAAGGAGGGAGGAGAGAGATGCAGAGCATGGTGCAAGGGCCAGCAGCCCAGGGCAGCCAGCTTCTCTGCTTACGCGCCCGGGCCGCCTGCCCGTCCTGTCTCTCCAGACACTACAGGGAGGGGCTGCCACTACTGGACCCATGATTCTTCTACTCCCCTGTCCACCACAGTTGGGTCAGAGGAACTGGTGTAGGCAGAGACAGGAGGTCCTGGGTTCAGCAAGAGGAGGCTGTATATGGCCTCTGAATACTCAGAGGCTGTCGTCAGTCCCTATGCTAGTCTCTGTTGGTACCTATACACAGCTCACTGCATGTTCACGTTAGCCGACATCATAATGATAAGATCACATGGTGATGGAGTGACAGGAATGGGCCAGGAACCAGGCAGGGGGCACTGGGGACCTGACTCATAAATGCTGGGCTCTGATGCATCTGGGGGTGGGGAGTGGTGAATTCCCTTCTGCTCTTCCTGGTGTGGCTGCCCTCCTGGCCCTGACTCACAGCCTCTTTGTTCTCAGGGATAGAAGATGCACTCTAGGAGCCACCTGCCACCGTCCCTACTGCTATTCCTGTCACTGGCCTTGGGACCCAGGGTGCAGGGTTGCCCATCCGGCTGCCAGTGCAACCAGCCACAGACAGTCTTCTGCACTGCCCGTCAGGGGACCACGGTGCCCCGAGACGTGCCGCCTGATACAGTGGGCCTGTACATCTTTGAGAACGGCATTACCACGCTTGACTCAGGCAGCTTTGCTGGCCTGCCTGGCCTGCAGCTCCTGGATCTATCACAGAACCAGATCACTAGTCTTCCTGGCAGCATCTTCCAGCCACTGGTCAACCTCAGCAACCTGGACTTGACTGCCAACAAGCTGCGTGAGATCACCAATGAGACCTTCCATGGTCTGCGGTGCCTTGAGCGCCTCTACCTGGGTAAAAACCGCATACGCCACATCCAGCCTGGTGCCTTTGATGCACTTGACCGCCTCCTGGAGCTCAAGCTGCAGGACAATGAACTGCGGACGCTGCCCCCATTACACCTACCCCGCCTTCTGCTGCTCGACCTCAGCCACAACAGCCTCTCAGCTCTGGAGCCCGGTATCCTGGACACCGCCAATATGGAGGCACTGCGGCTGGCTGGCCTGGGGCTGCGGCAGCTAGATGAGGGGCTCTTTGGCCGCCTGCGCAATCTCCATGACCTGGATGTGTCTGACAACCAGCTGGAGCGCCTGCCACCTGTGATCCAAGGCCTGCGGGGCCTGACACGCCTGCGGCTGGCTGGTAACACCCGCATTGCTCAGCTGCGGCCCGAAGACCTGGTTGGCCTGGCCACCCTGCAGGAGCTGGACCTGAGCAACCTGAGCCTGCAGGCCCTGCCCAGTGACCTCTCAGCCCTCTTCCCCCGCCTGCGCCTCTTGGCAGCTGCCCGCAATCCCTTCAACTGTGTGTGCCCCTTGAGCTGGTTCGGGCCTTGGGTGCGAGAGAGCCATATTACGCTGGCCAGTCCTGAGGAGACACGATGCCACTTCCCACCAAAAAATGCCGGTCGACTGCTCCTGGAGCTGGACTACGCTGACTTTGGCTGCCCAGCCACTACCACAGCTATGGTGCCCACCATGAGGCCCACAGCAGGGGAGCCCACACTCTCCCCTTCCAGTCCAGCTCTCACCTGGCTCAGCCCCACAGAACCAACCACTGAGGCCCCCAGCCTACCATCCACTGCCCTGCCAACCATGGGGTCTGCTCCCCGGCTCCAGGACTGTCCAGCATCCACCTGCCTCAATGGGGGCACCTGCCGCCTGGGGGTGAGGCATCACCTGGAGTGCCTGTGCCCCGAGGGTGTCACGGGCCTGTACTGTGAGAGTCAAGTGGGGCAAGGGATGGGGCCCAGCCCCACACCACCAGCCACACCAGTGCCCCCACGGCCCCTGCCTCTGGGCATTGAGCCCGTGAGCCCCACCTCTCTTCGTGTGGGGCTGCAGCGCTACCTGCAGGGCAGCACTGTGCAGCTCAGGAGCCTCCGCCTCACCTACCGAAACCTGTCAGGTCCTGACAAACGGCTGGTGACCCTGCGGCTGCCTGCCTCACTCACAGAGTACACAGTCACCCAGCTGCGGCCAAATGCCACCTACTCCATCTGCGTCACACCCTTGGGGGTCGGACGAGTGCCTGAAGGTCAGGAGGCCTGTGGGGAGGCTCGCACACCCCCAGCTGTCCGCTCCAACCATGCCCCAGTTACCCAGGCCCGTGAGGGCAACCTGCCACTCCTCATTGCACCTGCCCTGGCAGCTGTGCTCCTGGCTGCATTGGCTGCTGCAGGGGCAGCCTACTGTGTACGGCGAGGCCGAGCAGCAGCCACAGCTCAGGACAAAGGACAGGTGGGACCAGGGGCTGGGCCCCTGGAGCTAGAGGGAGTGAAGGCCCACTTAGAACCAGGCCCCAAGGCTACTGAGGGCAGTGGGGAGACCCTGCCAGGTGGACCTGAGTGTGAAGTGCCACTCATGGGCTATGTGGGGCCCAGCCTCCAAGGGGCTCTCCCTGCTAAGCACTACATCTAAGCCAGGAGTAATGGAATAGCCAAGGGGCTGGGCTGTTAACCAGCACAGTTCTGCCACAAAGGAAGTTCTCAGTGTGTACCACCAGGACACATGCAGGATGGGCTGTGTGACTGCAGTCAGCCCCTACCCCTTTCTGGGTTTGGTTGCCTCATATGGGAGCTGCTACAGCCCAGGTGATGAGCTCCTGTAGCCCCCAGCCTGAGCACGTACAGGATGGTTTTCTTCAGAGTGCAATCCCAGCACACATGGGCCCTGCCGTGTGCTGGTAACGCGGCCAGGATCCTGCTGGGCTCCCCTAGCCAGCCACGGAGACTGGAGGCCAGTGAAGGAAGCCCCCAGAAAGAGCAGTGGGTTAGGCCCTATGGCTCTGACCTCAGCCCTAAGAAGCACAGAAAACTGGAAGGGAAGGTGCTCTGGGCATGTGAGGATTTGCTTCTGTTGTTTCATTTTTTTAAATATATTTATAAGAGATCCTTTCCCATTTATGCTGGGAAAATGATTTTCAAGCTCAGTGACAAAGTGGTTTTTGTAAGACAAATGATGATATGAAGGCCTTTTGTAAGAAAATAAAGGATAAAATGGAATGAGTCTCTTGGGCTCAGCCTGAGGTGCATGGACTGGGTGCAAGGAGGGTATGAAGAGCTGGAGCCCCTCTCCCCCAAAAGGCATTAGGCCTGGGCTTGGCAGGGCTTCTGCTGAGGGCCTGTCCAGAAGGGCAATCCTCCCAGGGGTCCTGACTCAGGGTGAGGGTAAGACCTGGGCAGGGAAGTAAGGGGGTCTAGTTAGGCAGCCTCACCCACTCTAAGCCCAGTCTTCTGCCAGCAGGAGCCGCAGGAGCCACAGTGCCTGTGGACAAGCTGGGAGAGGCTCATGGCAGACAAGGGAGGTCAGAGCCTCCTTAGGTGGGCCTGACGTGCAACTCGCTACCTGCCTTCCTTTAAAGAGGGGTGTCTTGAACCCCCTGTCATTACAGGGCATCACGGCTGGTCCTGGGATCAGGTGGCCTCCAGAATCTTCTGCAGAGTCCTATGCTAGCTAGGTGGTATGTGTGGCCCCAGCTCCTCTTTGCTGTTCCACTGCCCCTGGCATAGACTCAGCCTGGAAATACCACTTGTCTCTGCCCCAGCTGTGAAGAAGGGCTGTGGGGGCAATAACCCTGATGAACAGGAAGGAGGGTAGAGGCAAAGCTATCAGCAGCAGGCTGAGGGCTGAGTGTGGTTTGCAGATGGTGTCAGGCTTGGTGGCCCTACATTGTCCCTTTACCACCTGCAGTGGGGATGTGCCCAGCTATTCTAGGACCCCCAGAAGTGGGAGTGTTTTCCAAGAAGGCTGTAAGCTGTGTTGGGGAGGTAGCTAGGGATGTGGAAAACAGTTGTGGCCTGGACTGGGAGTGGGGAGCTTCAGACAGTGACAGATACATAGCTTTTTCCTCTTACTCTTGGGGGATGAGAGTGGAGTCGGGCTGTGGGCAGTGGAGAAGTCCATGAGCCTCCCAGAGGCCTCAGGTCAGTGTCCTCCTGTTGTTCATGGCACCAACCCCCAGCATCACTCCTGACGGGAAGGAGGTGTCCCAGTCAGGCATGGTGAGCAGGCCCTGCAGCTCAGGGTGTTGATGTCAGCACCAAGTCAGCCCCGGCCACGCGAAGCTCTGGATTCAATTAGCGGCTGCTGAGGGCTCCGGCTCAAGGAGGCAGTGGTGGGTCACGCGGGCAGTGGGTGGTGGCAGTGGGCCTGGGTGGGGCCCCTTCCTCCTGAGGCGGTAGCAGTGGTGGCGGCAGCCCAGGTGGATTTCCTGTAGGCCTGGGTCTTATTAGGGCAACAGCCATGGCGAGGCCTGCCCCCCAGGCAGCCCTGTCAAAAGATCCTTTGTGAGCCTGTGGGCTGCTGCCGAAGACTGCGGCTCCTGAGTAAATGTTTTCACTGCAAAGTAAACCTGGCCTAGAGGGATGGCAGGACCCAGAGAAAGGGGCCTTCAAGAAAGGTATTTGAAGTATACCATTCCCAAAGAGGACCAAGCCAATATGCAGCCCTCCCAGCTCCAGGGCATTTCCCCAGGATTGAGGCAGCTGTGGAGAAGTTCTAGCCCCTAATTAACGGGTCCCTCCCACCACAGGCCTCAAACCATTCAGGTTGCACAAGCTCTCGTTCCATGCCCAACAACCCACTTTACAGAAGAGGAAAAGTACTCCTGCAAGAGGGATGTGACCCCAACACTTGCTCCAGGATGGGGTGGCCAGCCCAGCAATGCTGCTACAGGGAGCAGGACATACAGTGCACTCACATTCACACTCCCCTCTCAATTCACGCCCAGGAGCACAGCACCTAAGACAGGTGTGCCTCTACATCTCCTGGACTACAGTATGTGCTGCTCTTTTAGCAGCGTACTCTGCTGGTCCCTTGTGTTATCCCCCCACCTCCAGTGAAGAACACAGAGCCTGGCACACAGGAAGTGCTAAGCTGCCATCCACACAGGGCAGCCTGAGCCTTCTGGATGGCCTGCAGCTGCCCTGGCTCCCAATCCCCACTGTTCCCACTATAGCACACTTCCTTTTAGACACTCCACAAATGACAAGGACAGAACAGAAATGGGACCCACAACAGACCCCAGGAGAGGATGAGGAGGAGGATGGGGCATGTGCCTGACCTCTTGCCCCTATAGTTCTTAAGAATACACATGTTCAAACCTCAGTACCACCAAACACACACACACACACACACACACACACACACACACACTGTTCTGACCAAACCAAGATGGAAAATCTGTAAAACAAGAAACCAAGGGTGGCTGGCTGAGTCCAGCTGCCAACCTCCCCCGCAGCTGTGCCCACAGTTGATGCCCTGTATTTTCCATCTTCAGTATTGGGAATTCTGGCTTCTAGGGGACCCACTACCTCTCAGAACAGCCTGGAGGCTGGCATGCATCCTTGACATCCACTAGCTTCATGGGGGGGGAGGTGGGAGAGTCCCAGCTCCTTTGCCAAAGAGCCGGCCAGGCATAGCTGGAGGACAGAGGGGCAGGACACTGGCCTGGTCACCCATCTGGGAGTGATTTGACAAATTCCAGTACTCACTGGTCCTTCAAAGCTATTCTTAACTGCTATAATTACAGGGTCAGTCTTGGCCAGTGGCACCATGGGGTCTGGCATCATTAACTCTTCCAGGGACCATGTTGGAGCCATGCAAAGTATGCTCTGTAGGAGAAAGGAGGCTGTCACCATCACTGTAGAGCCTGGAAAGCAGGAAGTAGTGGGCAGAAGAGCACTAGAGTTCTGGTGCCCTGTGCCTTCACACCCACAGTGTCCCACACGGCCTCTGCTGGGGGCCTGTAGGAAAGGGGCCATCTGGTATGGAGGATCTTGAGGACAAGATGTCAGAGTGGCACCAGGGTTGGGGTTGCAGCATGGGATGATGCTGACTGTGGAGCCCCAAGGCCCACAAGCTGCAACAACTCCAGCACTGGGCAGCCACACTAACCCCACTCCCGAGCCCTAGGCCAGCACAGGCAGGAGGATGGTAGCAACCAGCCTTGGCCTCTGGCCTGACGTGTAGTTTCAAGGAAGGCCCTAACTCTTACCCAGCCCTGCGTTCTCATCTATGCCATGGGCATCACCAGCATCCCAGCCACTCTCTGGGTGAGAGGATGGGACAAGGGTCTTTGTTCCCCTGCCTATTCCCCTCCACTAAAAGTTCTCTTAGCCAGGGATCCAAGGACAGGGACTCTTCCTGTAGCCTTCCCCACCTGATACACTACCCTGCTGCTTCTGGCGCTTGGACAGGCCCCCGTTCCTCTGTGACTCAATTTGCTCAGCTGTGAAATGCATGAAAAGGGGCTGGACAAGATAGCCAAGACCCAGGTCCATTTCCTGGCTCCAGCATTCCCTGATCCCCTTGCCCAGTCGGTCCCTTTATCAGTGATGGCTGAGACAGGCTGAGGCTTTAGAACAGGGACCACATATATCCCCTGTCTCTTCCCTCAACAGCCCCACCTGGCTATTCCACCTTGTGGAACCTCAGTTCCTCAGCTGTAATGCAAATGATCATGCAGACAGAATGGTCCCTTGGAAGTGCTCACTGTGGGCCTCCTGGCTGGATCCTGAGCTACTGTGGACCAAAGCCATATCTGTACAGAGCTGTTGGGCCAGGCCAGGAGCCCTGCCACAATTCCTCCTTCACACACTTTCAGGGAGTGGGCGTAGAAGGATGAGGTGCACATGGACCATTTATGTTGCATGGGCACTAACCTCACTTGGAGACAACCATGGACAGTCATGTGGCAGGTGCTGAGTGAGCCCTTTATATTTATCTCAGTGGGGCCCGGCACCAGTGGCTCACACCTGTAATCCTAGCTACTCAGAGGGCAGAGATCAGAAGGATCATGGTTCAAAGCCAGCCCAGGCAAATAGTTCGAAAGAACCTATCTCAAAAAAACCCAGCACAAAACAGGGCAAATGGAATGGCTCAAGTGGTAGACAGCCTGCCTAGCAGGTGTGAAGCCCTGAATTCAAACCCCAGTACCACAAAAAAAAAAATCTCAGTGGGGTCTGATGCCATCCCCATGTGCCACAGCCACCTCCATACCTACCTGTCTGTCCCCATGATACCCCATGTCCATCCCACTTCCTTCTTCCTATCACAACCTTGGGTATCTTGGGCCCTCAACCCTATGAAAACATTCACAGCAAAACTGAAATCTCTATTGCTCCAAATGCCACATCTGCCAGGTGACACACAGTCCCTTCCCCAAATGCCAAAATACCTGCATGAGTCTCAGACCATGAAACTGCCTTGTACCGACTGCCACTGTGCTGCCAGGGGCCCAAGGGAACAAAGGGAGTCCTGCTTATCTGCCAGCTCAGGGCTACCTCAGCGCCCCCTGCTGGTGAGGTTAGGAGCTTCTGGAGGGCAGGGGCAGAGTTCCTTGGCCAACTCTGGTACCCGCCACACACTTCCATGATCAGACCAACTCACTGACAGGCTCGATAGGGGCTCTCATCAGTGGCACCTGTGCTCCAGGCCTGGACTCAGGACATCATCTGGGCTCTGGGCCCCAACCCCCAAATATGCCATAGCTCCTACCTGGGTGACGTGTCCAGGGTGAGGGAAGCCAGGGCACTGGAGAAGAACCGGGTATCCCAGAGCTTTACTTCTCGCTCACGCATCTGCGGAGAGGGCCGCAGAGAAGTTCAGAAGGGCCTGTTGCTCAGCCCAATCCCAGGGCATCTAGAACCCAGTGCCTGGGGATTCAGACTGGCAACAGGCACCTGCCCCAGAGCAGCAGGGGAGTTATGCCAGGAAGGGAGAGTTTGGGTTTTCATGTCCTGCCCCTTTAAGATCCTTTAAGGTGACAAGGGACAAGGGGCGGTTCCCTCCATGGACTTTGGTCCCTGTGGGGCCACCACTGCTCAGAGGGTCATGCTTAGCTATTGCAAATGGAATCTGCTGGTTTTCCACAGCCATCAATCCCCTGGGGCCCTGCGACCCAGCTGCATAGCCAGGCCGTATATGGACAGGTCTGGAACTGGCCATCAGCACCCCTACTTCCCAATGGCCTCGCCCTATCCTCTTAAGAGTAGGCAGCTGAAGGGCTAGACACATGCTTGCCTGACAGTGCCCTGCACATGCTGGAGGAGCCACTACCTGGTTGAATCCAGTTGACACTAGGTGCTCCTGGATGCCTGTCCATGCCAGCTGGCTGTCTCTGCTGTTCTCGTGGGCCTGTGTGCTCTGCAGAAGGCAAGAGATAGTACTGAGCTCCCAGGGCCCCCTTACTGTGGGCAAGAATCTCTTGGAGTGGCCTGGAGCTGGGGAACTTGGCTGCCCATCTGCCTGAGCATCCACAGAGAGCAGGAGGAGCCAGGCCAGTTTTCCCCACAGAGGCCTCAGGTGCACACATGAAGAACTCTGTGCCTCTACCCTACAGGCAGCTCTGCACCTAGAGGTGACCAGTCTCACTCTTCCTGAGAAGACTGGAAAGGAGACCTTCCTCAGTGCCAGGGGCCAAAGACAGCAGCACGTTCTTGCTTTGACAGGCTCCAGGAGGAAGTACTTGGCTGGGATCTCCATCTCTGGGCTCTAGTGCTTGCCCCTGCCCCAAGGACCCCATATTCTCTTGGAACTCATTTTTCTTGCTTGTGAACTGGGCCCACAGAGCCCATGCCACCCACTCCCTGGGGCTGTCTTGAGGATCAACGGAGAGTACACATGGAAGGACTGGGCCTTTACAAAGCAAAGCAAAGTGCCGTGCAAATCACAGGATTAGGAGGATTACCGCTGCCTCCTGTTGCTGCCAGTGGGCAGTAGGGAAGGCCTGGGGCCAAGCTCTGGGGAAGGTCCTAGGGGGGGCAGAACAGGGCCCTCAGGCCCTTCCGTGGTGCTGGAGCTGTGGCAAGAAGGCTCACAGCTCCAAGAAGGAAAGGGAAGTTCACATCCCAGGCCTGGCCTAGTGGCCCTGTCCCCCTGGGCCCTGGCAAGGGGGAGCTGAGGAGGCCAAAGGAAATGCAAACAGCTCCCTCCCTGTCACCCTGGCCCCTGGAGCCTGAGACAAGGACCCTGTTACCAAAAATAGCTCACCCCAAACTGGTCAGCCTCCTCCAAGCTTCCCACGATCTCCTTGGGAATGAATGAGGGAGGGAAGCAGCTTCGAGATGCTGGCTCCAGGCCCCCTCCCCAGCGAAGAGGCCGCCCCCAGCGTGGGAGATGGCTGGAAACGCTCCACTGTGTTCTTCAAGGGGCTTTTCTCACTGCTCCCTTCCCACCCAGCGGCAGCAGCACAGGAAATTGGGGCTGGAGCCTGAGAACCAGGGCCCCACACTCCTCTCTCCACCTAAAAGGGGCTGCAGGATCAGACCTAGGGTCAGGTCATTGGCCAGCCCCACCTGATACCCCAGTGTGGGTCAGAAGTATCATGTGGGCTCTTGTCCTCTGGTCAGTGTGCAAATACCCTTGTGTAAGCAGCAAATCAGATGCCTCCCAAATGGTCTATATAACATTCATACTGTCAAGGAACACGTGAGGCCTCCCATGGGCCAAAGGCTGTGCTAGGAGCTGGCAGTGGGGTCAGACAGTTCTCAAATAGACTATTAAGAATGTCCTCATTCATTCGTTTTCATAATATGAATGTTCAAGTGCACACAATGCTAGGCACTGGAGTCATGGTGAACAGAGCAAACAAGGTCCCCAAGTCTTTTTATACACATCAGGGAGGCCAACTCATCACTAAGGCCTCTAAGTGCCACAGAGGAGCAAAGAGGAGGTTATAGGAGCAAGCTTTGAGTCATGACTGCCTGGGTGGAAACTCAGCCCTACCCCCAATGCCCCTGTCCCAGGATGAGTTATGCAATGTCCTTCTGCCTCAGTTTCCTTGTCTGTAAAAAACACTGTAACAGAACCTCCTCTGGATGACTGTCTGTAAGGAAGAGATGTTAACACTTGCTAAGGCCAGGCGCTAATGGCTCATGCCTGTAATCCTAGCTAGTTGGGAGGCTGAGATCAGGAGAATTGCAGTTTCAGGCCAGCCCAGGCAAATAGTTCTTGAGACCCCATCTCCAAAATAACTAGAGCAAAAGACTGGAGGTGTGGCTCAAGTGGTAGAGCGCCTGGTTTGCAAGCGTGAAACCCTGAGTTCAAATACCAGTCCCACCAAATAAAAACTTACTACTGGTGCCAGTGGCTCACGCCTGTAATCCTAGCTACTCAGGAGGCAGAAAGCAAGAGGACTGCAGTTCAAAGTCAGCCCAGGCAAAAAAACCCATCACAAAAAAAGTGCTGGTAGAGTGGCTCAAGGTGTAGGCCCTGAGTTCAAACCCCAGTACGCAAAACAAAAACAAAAACGAAAACTTGCTAAGTGTTTAGCACCATATCTGGTGCATGTCAAACATGCATTTTTTTCCTTCTTTTTGAGACAGGGTCTCATTATGCTACTCAGGCTGGCCTTGAACAACTCAGGATCCTCTTGCTTCAGTCTCCCAAGTGATGGGATTACAGCTGTGTAACACCATGCCTGGCTATAAATGTGAGTTTTTTACAGGATGACAACAGGGTGTGATCGAGTGTTTAACTAAAGTCACCTTAAGGTCATATTTGAGCTAGGATGGAGAATCAGCATAGAATTCGCTCTGCACATGGAGACTGGAAAGAGAGACTGTGTAGTCACAGATGGGGGTAAGGGAGAGCTTTCAGGCTGGAGTACAGGAGCTGCTATTGAGTCATTTTCCTTCAGAGGCACAGGATGGGGTGGAATGTACCTACATTCCTACTTTCTGTTCACATGTGGAGAAACCAGGGGTCTGGACAGAAGAAGCATCTGCCCCAAGTCGCCCATGTTGCAGCTGTAGGCTACCTGAGCCTCTAGGCCCTGGCAGTTGAGTCAATTATTATCTGTCTGCACAGGGGGTCCTGAGGCACTGCAGTGAGAAGGCAGTGGAGAAAGGACCAGGAAGAGGCCAGGACCACCACTGCACCAGCAGCCCTCAGGTTTTCAGAAAACATTCTTGTGCTAGCTCACACTGAAGGAAGCACCAGGCAGCTAAGCAGAGAGGGGTCTGGCCTGCTCAGGAAAGTTATCTGGGAAGACATTCCCACCACGGGTACACCTAGCTATCTGTGAGGGGACTATAGGAAGCCCCGGTGCTGTGGTTGGGGGTCAGCAGCTACCTCCTACCCTCTCCTAACCCTAAATCACTGGAGCAATTTTTAGTTTCAAAACTGACTTTAATCTGGGCACCAGTACTCATGCCTGTAATCCTAGCTACTTGGGAGGTTGAGATCAGGAGGATCAAAGTTGGAGCCAGCTAGGGATAATAGTTTGAGACTTCCTCTCCAAAACCAGAACAAAATAGACTGAAGGTGTGGCTCAAGCAGTGGAGCTTCTGCTTTGTAAGACTGAAGCCCTAAGTTCAAACCCCAGTTCCACCAAACAAAAAACCAACCAAACAAACAAACAAAAAAACCCCACAAAAAACTGACTTCACTGAGGGAGAAGTCCTTCCTTCAGTTCTCAGATTCTCAATCTTCTGGGTCCTGGGAAGGCTGTAGCTGGGACCCAAGCAAGCTGCTACCCAAAAGCCCCAGCTTCCCCAAGAGGTTCCTGGGGAAGTCACTGGAGGTCAGGCTGGGGGGTTTCCTGCCCAGAGGCAAGACTGGCTATAAGCAGGTACTTCTGGGGTGGCCTTTGTCCCCACATGGAGAAGCCCCAAGAGGGCTTTGCAGCCCTCAGTCCCCAGAATGAGTCACCTATACCTGGCCAGGGAAACAACCGGAGGGACTGTGGCCAGGGAGTGCCAGCTCTGCTGTGACCAGAAGGGGAGGTGCATACCCAGCATTCCAGCCAAATCCCCTTTCCATTGCCATGGCAACACATCCTGTGTGGGGCAAGAGTACTCTAGGGGCAGCCCTGGGCTCCTTCCTAGGGTAAGGGGCTCTTCTTCAAGAGAAAGAACCCCATCACCCACCCATGCCCCTCCTCAGCCAGGTTCGGTGCTGGGCTCTGAATGCTAGGAACCTCCCTCCCCCCAGAACCTGACACTCATGGGAGGGGATATGTGTGTCAGAAGCTACTGGCTGGCCTGCCCAAGAGAAAGGAGAAAGGATTGTCCCTGGGCCCCCTCTTGTCCCTAACATACCCCAGCATCTCCCCAGCTTCAGGGCTGCTGCTTCCCTGGAAGAGCCAAGGCCTCGTCCACACTGGCAGCCACTTTGGGGACTGGTTCAGTGAAGGAACAGCAGAAATACAGCTCAACCGGGCACTGGTGGCTCACGCCTGTAATCCCAGCTACGCAGGAGGCAGAGATCAGGAGGATTGAGGTTCAAAGCCAGCCCAGGCAAATAGTTCTTGAGACCCTATCTTGAGAAACTCCGTCATAAATAAAGGGCTGGTGGAGTGGCTCAAGGTGTAGACCCTGAGTTCAAGCCCCAACCAGTACCACAAAAATAAATAAATAAAATAAATTCCAATTGTAAGCCACAACCATAAAAAAAAAAAAAAAAGAAAGAAATACAGCTCAGCTCTGCCACTCTGCTGTGTGGCTCTGGGTGTCCTGGCCTTGACAACAGAAAGAACCAAAGGGCTGGGAGGAAGTCATACAGAAGTACATGAGACATAATAAATGGTCATAAATGCAACAGAAAAACAAAGTAGGGAGCAAAGCACAGTGCCTCGTGCTGGTGATCCCAGCTACTAAGAGATCACTTGAACCCAGGAGTTTAAGCCTGGACAACATAGTAAGACCTACTTCAAAAAATAAGCCAATAAAAATTAAAAATTTAAACAAAATAGAGTGTGAACAGGAGGGGGCCACTCAAGAGTCCCCTGCTCCAAGTAGGGCCCCAAAGAAGACAGTGAAGGGAGGAATTTACGCTCCATGAGCAGCCTCAGGGCTCTGGGGACAGTGGAGCTCCCATAAGGTGAGACTGAGAGGGCAGCAAGCACATCACACACACACACACACACACACACACACACACCCCGCCATGCAACACACACACACACACACACCCCGCCATGCAACACACACACACACACACACACACCGCCACGCAACACACACACACACACACACACACACACACAGTGGAGCTCCCATAAGGTGAGACTGAGAGGGCAGCAAGCACATCACACACACACACACACACACACAGCAACACACACACACACACACACACACCCCGCCATGCAAACCACACACACACACACACACACCCCGCATGCAACACACACACACACACACACACACACACCCCGCCATGCAACACACACACACACACACACACACACACACCACACACACACACACACACACACACACACACACACACACACACCCGCCATGCCCCACACCAGGTAGGAAGGGAGACCTCGGAGAAGGCACTCCCCCAAGGCCTCTCCTCAGCCCCATGGCTTACACCACCCCAGCCGCCAGCAGTGGTTCTCTTAATAGAAGCCAGGTGTGGACCAGATGCCCTGGGCGGAAGTGGGGGCAGGGCCAAGTGGAGGGCAGCATTCCAGGCCTGCTGCGGCCCCCGCCTCACAGTGCAGTTCAGCAGCAAGGCCAAGCCCTGGCACCATCCCAGCAGCTGGGGGAGCCACCCACACTCTTCCCAGGTCTCTTGCCCAAGCCCCTCCAAGGGGCTCCTCCAGACCCAGATTCTCGCTGCTCTTCAAGAACTTGGAGCCCCTTGGCCGACAGCCATTCCAGCTCCAGCTCCACCTCAGCCTCAGGCGCTGCCTGCCCTTGTAGGAAGAGGAAGAGGAGGAGGAGGAGGAGGAGGAGGAGGAGGAGGCAGGCTGGGAACAGGCCACAGAGGAAGGAGTAGGAGGAAGAAAACACAGGACGTTGGCCCAGTCTGATGCCCGGTGGCACCAGTGCAGCACCCTGGACCAGGGCAAAATCTGGGACACCTTTCTGGGCAAATGCTTGGAGATCAATAGGTGAGGCCTATTGTGCACACCACACCAATACAAATGACCCCACAGAACAAGGCCAGTCGGCCTCACCAAGACGCACCACCAGGCTATGGCAAACTGCCTGCCCAGCTTGATGGGGCCTCCTTTCAGTCTTCAGCTAGACTGAGCGAAGTGGCTGCACCAATAAGGTGCTCCACACAGAGGAGTTTCTGAGTATGGAGGGGGACCACAACAGAGCTCCCAGGCTACCAGATTTGGGCTGGTTAACTTTACCGTTGAACCCCATCCCCCCACAGGGAATCAGTCCTAGAAATGGGGAGAGGAGCTATGTGATGGACCTGGGTTTTTTGCACTCTATCTCCCTGGGGGAAGCAGGCTTAGCTTCTAGAAAATTCTTTTGAGAAATGTAAATCCACTCATCTTGCTTCCTGCTTAACTCTGCAGTGGCTTACCACAGCCCAGGAGATAGGCCTTTTTGTGGCTTGCCTCCTCCTTGTACCCCTTAGCAGACTTCTGAAACAAGCCCTCTCCACCTCAGGCCATCTGTGTGTGTCCTCTGGTGAAAGTCTGGGCCTCAGCTCCAGCATTAGTTGCTTGGAGAAGCACTAAACCTTCCCAGCAAGAGAAGCCCCTCCCCCTGGGGGGACAGCGGGGAGAGGTGGCCCAAACAGTGTATATACATATGAATAAACATAAAAACAATTTTAAAAAAAGAGAGAAGCCCCCCCCAGCAACCACTGGGATAGGGCCATGTGTCTGGCTCATTGGCTGCTGCGTACACAGCCTCTGTTGGAAAAATGATACCCCAGTGCCTCTGCCTGCTGCATAAACCCAGGTCCCAGCTCCCTCACTCAGAACTTGTGGCCACATGCTCTGTGCACCCAAACAAAAACCAACAGCCCCTGGGGCCTGTGAGGCCGGTTGGTCCACCCATACCAGGGTCCACTGCAAGATCTGAGGGGCACAGGGGGCCAAGTGGGAGTTCTTTCTGGCTCCTCTGCAGCTGGTGTCTGCAGGCAGTACCAGGGAAGGAGAGTGGGGTCTCAAAGGAGGAGAAGTTGGAATCTCAAATTACGTTCCTGAAGCCATAGGACACTTCCACTCCATGGCCTGTGGACAGCCTGGCTGTACCCCACCCTATGATCAAAGCCAGATCCTTCCAGGACCCAGAATTCATCCCCCAGAAAGAGTTTCCAGCAGCAGCAACATCAGCAGCCTGCCTCCCAAGAGCTGTGCAAGAGGCCTGAGTCTATCCTTCCTCCCTGCTGCTGGAGCCACAGTGTCCTCATCCTGCACACAGGCTTCTCCCCACCCTGCTGCCTACACAACTCACCTGAAAGGCCTCAGCCCTTGCCCTGGGGTCAAAGATCCGAAGCTGCTTGTCCTGGAAAAGCAGGAGAGAAAAACAGAGCCAGAAATTAGAACCAACTCTATCTCCCCCACCCCAGACTCTGATAAGCCTGTGCGCTAGTACACAGGGCTGGCATCATGCACCAGGGGACCCTTCCCTAGCCAGGTTCCTCCTTCTTGCCCCACAGCAGGTCCCTTTCTATCCAGCCTTTCAGAAGACTACACTCTGCCACAACAATTCACCTTTCTGAGCGAGTACTATGTGCCAGGCACATCACATGCATATCCTCTCCTCATCTTTCCAACGACCTTATGAAGCAGCATCATTACCATGACTCCTTCAGAGAAAAACAAAGCCCAGAAGAAACTCAGGACTACTGCCTATTTCCTATCTGTCCAGCCCTGGACATCACATGAGCCCAGCCTGGCTCAAGTGATGATGTCATTTCTGCACTTTTAACCAGGAACCAGTTCTTTTAATCAAGAAGTTTTAATAGGAAAACAAGCTAACACTTTCCAACCATCCATTTAGTGCAGTTATTAATCCAGATTACCCCAGGGCCAGGAAAGAAGCAGACAAAACAAACAACAAATGTACTGAAATAAAATGCCCGTACCCTTAAGGGTCCTTTGCTGTAGAATAATTCATGTGTTTTTGTACACAAGTGTACCACATAAAGAGCTAAGACAGGAGCCTAGGGTGCAGCACTGTGGTAGAGCACTTGCCTAGCATATGTGAGACCCTGGGCTCAATCCCCAGCATGGCCTCTCCTCCCTCAAAAAAAGAACTGGGCAGAGACAGGGCAGAGTCTGTATCCACTATTTGTAGGTTTTGCCATAATTGGCTGTAATAAACTGTTACATGCAAAAAGGAAGTTGCAGAATAACATGGCATGGTGACTCTACTATAGTCAAAGTAAACAAAAACCTATTTGTGTGACGATGTTCCTGAACATTTTGGGAATTTGCTGAGCAAGGAGACAGGTCTTGGCCAGCAGAGTCCAGTGTGTTAATGCTGGGTACTGTAGGTGGGGAAGAGGAGCACAGCTCTACTTTGTTTCAATTAGCACAGATGACTATTTCCACATTTTGAAAAATAACAATTGGACTTGGAAATTAAAAACATTACCATTTTTGTCAGCACCAAAAAACTGAAATGCTTAGTTATAAATCTTACAAAACATTTATCAAGAAAATGAGGAAAATTCTGATGAAAGAAATCAAAGATCCAGATAAATGGACACATACCCATTTTCATGGATATGAAGACTTAACATTGTTGAGATGTTAGTTCTTCCCAAGTTGATCTACAGATTCCACACAATCCTAACCAAGAGTCCAGTAAGTTATCTTGTGAATATTGATAAAATGATTCTAAAGCCTATAGGAAGAAGCAAGCTGAGCCAAGCCTGGTGGCCCATTCCTATAATCGGAGCATTTGGGAAGCTGAGGCAGGAGGATTGGAAGTTCTAGACCACACTGGGCTACATAATGAGACCCTGTCTCAAGAGAAAAAAAAAAAGGAGCTGAGCACCAGTGGCTCATGCCTGTAATCCTAGCTACTCAGGAGGCAGAGATAAGGAGGATCACAGTTCAAAGTCAATCTGGGCATATATTTCCCAGACCTTATCTCAAAAAAACTTAACACAAAAAAGGGCTAGTGGAGTGGCTCAAGGTGTAGCTCGAGTTCAAGTCCCAGTACCACAAAAAAAAAAAAAAAAAAAAAAAAAAGGCTTGTGGCACGGCTCAAGTGGTACAGTGCCTGCCTAGCAGGTACAAGGCTCTGAGTTCAAACTCTAGTACCAAAAAATAAAAATAAGAACAACAACAACAACAAAAAAGAATAATCAACTTATATTGAAGCATGAATCAGAGGGCTAAACCTGATTTTATCAAAAAGTCATAGTAATCCAGGTGGTGGTACTGGCAAAACAATAAACAACAAGGCTGGTGGAGTGGCTCAAGTGATAGAGTGCCCACCTAACAACTGTAAGGCCCTGAGTTCAAACCCCAGTACTGCCAAAAAGAAAAAAAAATAGACAAACAAATCAGTGAAATAGAATAGGGGGCCCAGAAAAGACACACAAATATAGTCAACTGAGCTTTGACACAGGAGCAAAGGCAACACAATGGAGAAATGTAGTCTTTTCAAGAAATGGTGCTGGAATAACTGGATATCACATACCAAAAAAGAAAAAAGAAGAATCTCAACACACACTGTGCTGTTTAATCTTGAGAGCCTGTTTGGAGGTTCTAGCAGGGGAGCAAAGCTACTCGTATACCACTGAACAAAGAACTGTCCTCCTCGATTGGGCAAGTTTATCTTCTACCAGCTACACAGTTTTGGGAGGGATACACATGGAGTGGTGAGGGACAAAGAGGGACAGCTGCCAGTCAGCCAGGTCAGTCACATCAACCCTGGTGATCAAGGCAATGATTGCCCTCATCTCATGACTGGAATGAGAAAAGCCTACCAGATTAGTAAACCATACCTCTAGGTGTATCTCTGGGTGTTTTCAGAGAGGATTAGATCATGAGGGCTCAGGCTTAATCAATGGTTTAATCCATCAGTTGTTTCAAAATGTGAATAGACTACTGGGAGAAGGTAGGGCCTGGCTGGAGGAAGCAGGTCACGGGGATGTCTTTGAAGGGTGTATCTAGCCCTGGCCTCTTCCTGTCTCACTCTGCTTCCAGGCCACCATGAGGTAAGCAGCTCTGCCCTACCATGCCCTCCCCACAATGATGTTCTGTTTTACCACAGGCCTAAAAGTAGTGGAGCCAGACATGGACTGAAAACTCTGAAACCATAAGCCAAAATAAATTCTTCCTCCATTAAACTGCTTCTCCCAAGTATTTGTCACAGTGATGAAAAGTTTGTCACGTAGACCTTACTCACCCCTTACACAAAAATTTAACTCAAAAATAGATCAATAGATCATAGAACTAAATGTAAAACACAAAACTACAAAACATACAGGAAAGTCAGGTGCCGGTGGCTCACACCTGTAATCCTAGCTACTCAGGAGGCAGAGATTAGGAGAATTGAGGTTTGAAGCCAGTCTGAGGCAAATAGTTTGTGAGACCCTATCTCAAAAAGAATCCATCACAAAAAAGGACTGGTGGAGTGGCTAAAGGTGTAGGCCCTGAGTTCAAACCCTAGTACTGCTAAGAAAAAAAAAAAAATGAGGACTGGCAGAGTGGCTTGAGTGGTAAAGCGCCTGCCTAGCAAGCCTAAGGCCCTGCATTCAAACCCCAGTACCACAGGAAAAAAGAGAACAAGACAGGTGCTAGGGGTGGCTCACAACTATAATCCTAGCTACTTGGGAGGCTAAGATCTGGAGGATCACAGTTCAAAACCAGCCAAGACAAACAGTTCAAAAGACCCCACCATTTCTTGAACTGCAGCAAAATAAATTGGAGGTATGGCTCAAGTGGCAAAGTGTCTGCTTTGCAAGTTCAAAGCCATGAGTTCAAACCCTATTTTGAAAAAAGAAAAAAAATTGGAAACTTCTGCTTTGTGAAAGACCCTGTTAAGAGAATGAAAAGTCAAAGTCACAGAGTAGAAGAGAGTATTTTCAAAACACTTGTCAAACATAAGATTTATATGTATAACACACAAAGAACACTTAGGGGCTCAGCATGGTGGTACATGCCTATAATCTCAGCTAGTTGGGAGGCAGAGGTAGAAAGACCCTGACCCAAGGCCAGCCCAGGCAAAGGTCAGTACAAGACCCTATCTTAAAAACAAACTAAAGACAAAAGGACTGAGAGTGTTGCTCAAGTGGTAGAGTGCTTGCTTAGCAAGTATGAGGTACTGAGTTCAATCCCCAGTACGGAAAAGAAAGGAAAGGAAGAAAGAAAAGAAGAAAGAGACTACTTAAGACTTAAACTAAAAAATAAGAAACAACCCAATTGAAAAATGGGCAACAGACACCAAAAAAAAAAAAAAAGAGAGAGAGAGCTAGGCAGAGGGAAAAATGAGCAGAAGAAAACAGCCCACATCAAATGTTCTGAGAACTGTAAATTAACACAGCAATGGGACACATTGCACGCCTACTAGAATGACTGGAACTAAAGAACTGACAACACAAAATACTGGGAAGGACATAGAACAAGAATTCTCATTCATGGCTGATGAGAACACAAAACAGGATAGCTATGGGAACTACTAAAATGGTTTAGCAGCTTCTTACAAAGTTAAAATACTCAGGTTTTGGTTTTTTTATTTTTTGGGGGATACAGGGGCATGAACTCAGGGCCTCATGCTTGCTAGGCAGGCACTCTACCACTTGAGCCACTCTGTCAGCCCCCATTTTTTTTTTTTTTTGATGGAACTGGAGTTTGAATTCAGGGGTTTGCACTTACAAACCAGGTGCTCTACTGCTTGAGCCACTACTCCAGCCTCAGATTTTTTTAAAAAAACTTTTCGTTTTTTGTTTTTTATTGAGACAGGGCCTCACCACAGGCTCCAGACTAGCCTCAAACTTGCAATCTCAGCCGGGTGCTGGTGGCTCACATCTGTAATCCTAGCTACTTCGGAGGCAGAGCTCAGGAAGATCACAGTTCAAAGCCAGTCTGGGCAAAAGTTCACAAGCCTATCTTGAAAAAACTCTTCACACAAAAAGGCTGGGGCGTGGCACGAGGTGTAGGCCCTGAGTTCAAACCCCAGTACTGAAAAAAAAAAAAAAAACCAACTTGCAATCCTCCTGCCTCCAAATCCCAGTACCTCCAAAGTACTGGGATTACTGGTATGTACCACCATACCCAGCTTGCTAAAATACTCTTTAAGATCCAAAAATTGTACTCATAAAGATTTACTCAAATGAATTAAAAAACTATGTCCACATAAATGTTTATAGCAGCTTTTATTCATAATTGCAAAAGCCAAAAGCAATCAGGACTGTCCCTCAAAAAGAACATACCCCTCAATAGGTGACTAGATAAATTCTGGTACACTCATACAATGGAATATTACTCTGTGAAAAAAAAGAAATAGCTAAAATGTCAAATTACAAAACTCCCAAAAGAAATCATACGGGAAAAGGCTCTTGACATTGGACCCAGCAATGACTTCTTAGATGTGATACCAAAGGCAACAAAAGCAAAAAGACAAACAGAGCTAAACATCAAACTTAAAAAAAAAAAAAGGCAAAACCCTTTTGTTTTGTTTTGGTGGAATTGTAAAATGATGCAACTGGGAGAAAGTATGGAAATTCCTCAAAACTTTTAAAGAGCTGGTCATGGTTATGTAAGGCTGTAATCCCAGCTGCGGGAGCAGAGGCAGGAGGACCATGACAAGGCAAGTCCAGGCAAAGGTAGCAGTGAGACTGTTTCAAAACCAAACGTGGGCTGGAGGAGTGGCTCAAGGGGAAAGCGCCTGCCTAGCAAGCACAAGGCCCTGGGTTCAATCACCAGCACCACAAACATAAAACTAAAACTAAAAGTACCATATAATCTGACAACCCTGCTCTGGACATACATCCTGAAGAATTGCAAGCAGGGTCATGAAGAGTTATATGCACAGCCACATTCACAGCAACACTAATCACAGTAGCCAAGGGGTAGAAGCAACGCAAGAATGTACAGATGAATGAATAAACAAACTGTGGTATGTACATACAATGGAATACTATGCAGCCTTAAAAGGGAAGGAAATCCTACCATATACTATAACATGGAAGGACTTGAGGTTTAGCATTTTATTGTGCTAAGTGGAATAAGCCAGTACATGGGTTCTGCTTCTCTAAGGCATCTAAAAGTAATCAGATTCACAGATATGGAACACAGAATGTTAGTTACCAGGGAGGGGGAAGGAAAAAAGGGGTGTAGAGTTTCAGTTCTCCAAGATGTAAAAGTTCTGGAGTTCTGTTTCATACCCACGTGGCTAGGCTTACTACTGAACTTAAACGAAAAAATAGTTAAGATGAGAAATTTTATGACATCTATTTTTTTTACCACAATTTAAAAAAAGTACCTGGCTGTCTACTAAAAGCCTTGGGTGAGCCTTAAGTGAAAGAAGCCAATCTGGAAAGGCTGCATATTGCTTGATTCCATCTCTTGACACTCTGGAAAAGGCAAATCTATAGAGATGGCAAAGGGGTCAGTGCTCGCCAGGTGTTGAGGGGCAGGGGATGAAACATGGGCATGTAGGGGACTTTTAGGGCAGTGAAACTATTCTGAAAGATACTGCAATGGTGGATACAGGATAACATGCATTTGTCCAAACTTTTAAGAATGGACAAAATATGGGCTGGAGGCATGGCTCAAGCAGTAGAGTACCTGCCTAGCAAGCATGAAGTATGAACTCCAGTATGCCAAAAAAAATTTTTTTTAAATGACAGGCAAGAGAAAATAGCTCTCCATTCTGCATACAGAGGAGACTTCTTGTCTGGGCTGAAATGCCAAACTCACCACTGACAAGCCTCGAGTCCACTGAATGATGATGAGGATGAAGACAGCAACCATTTCAGTCAAGGATCTAGGTTAGGGGAAACTTAAAAGTTCTTGGCACACAACAAATTCCATCAAGGTTGCTGAACCACTGAGCGCAATCATTTAAGGCTGGGTGAAAAATCACGGTTCACACTGGGCCCTGAGGCTGTTCTGGACTGGGCAGACAGATGGAACTGGGGTGTGCTGACCCTGTCCTCGATGGGCTCACTAGGTAGAACCCAGGGCACTGGACAGCATGCACAGCTGGCCAAGCCTAGTTATCCATGAGGCAGGTGCGCCCCCTAGTGGCCACCTGTCCCTTCTCTGCCACAGGGAGGCCCCTTTCCTCAGAAAAAAGAGCAAGGAGAGAAATAGAAGAGGCTCGGTGGTCTTGGGAGGCTGAGCTGCTCCCCACGGCAGCAGAAGGATGGAGTGGGAACCAAGGACAGGGAGGTGTACGGGTCAAGAGAGACAGGTGCATAATAGGCTTTGATGACAAATAGAGCATCCCCACATCCACCCCATCCCTTTAGCTCAGACAGCAACAATACACAAACCCACAGCCCAGCCCAGTGACACTGGCAAAGAGGAGCTCTGACTCCTCCTGCCATGGCAAAGGCCCACCCCCCAGTTCCAGCCACACGCACTGGGAAAAGGCCTCACCCTCTGCAATCCATGGGCATCTCCACCTGACTTGTCAGTGTACTGGCCTGGGTAAAATAGCTGGGTCCAGGAAGCAGGGGTTGCTCTACAACATCATTCCCACATCTGCTTGGTAAATCTGTGCTTTTTGTCCCCAGCTTTAGGCTCTGAGTCTAGCAGGAAATGTTTTACCTAGGAAGACAGCATGAGTGCCCTGCACTTGGACCTCTACCTCTGTCTTATAAGACACCAGGAGGCAAGGAATGGTGTAGCCAGGCTGCCGGAGTTGGTAAGACAGCCATGACCCACTGGGCTGCTCCTTGCCTTCTCTGCCCAATTACAAAGGCAAATGGGGTTCAGACAGGAAAGGAAGGAGGGACTGGACCACCACAGCAGTGATGCACAGGCAGGGGGTTCTCTCACAGGAAGAAGAGGCTGTCCTTGAATCTTGCCAAGATATTGTCAGGGTTGGCCCCTGCCTGGGACACTTGTCTCTTCCCCCTAAGTTGGGCCTCATCCTCAAAGACCAGCCTCAAGCTCACTGGCTCTGGGAAACTATCCCCACCAGGATTAAACCTGAGCAAGTCTACCATGGGCCTTTGAGGGCCATTATCCCCAGCTTATTACTTCTCCATATCCAGAGCCAGTGTATGGAACCTTCCAGATGATGAACAACAACGGAGAAAAGTAATTGATGAAGATTGGGATATGCAGGGGATGGGGAGAAGGGGGAGTAATGACCAAATCATTGGATGCACATATGAATAAAGGAAAAAAAAATGATTGGGATATGCATCTTCCAAAAAGGCACAGAGATGAGAACATGGGAAATAAAGTCCCTCTGAGTGTGCAGGCGCATGGGCCTGCAGACACCCGGGGCTGGTGGTCTCACTGCTTCAGAAGACCCCTATCTCTCCCCAGCTCCATCAGACCCCTCATTCTTTTTTTTTTTTTTTGCAGTACTGGGGTTTGAACTCAGGGCCTATACTTCAAGCTACTCCACCAACCCTTTTTTGTGATTGTTTTTTCAATACAAGGTCTCACAATCTATTTGCCCCGGCTGGCTGGCTTCAAACTGCGATCCTCCTGATCTCTGCCTACTGAGTAGCTAGGATTACAGGACTTAGCCACTGGCACCTGGCAGCCACCTCATTCTTCATTAGTGTTCTCAGGCCCAGAATACCACCATAAAGATCCCACACCCCTAAAGGCTCCCATTGTCCAATCCCAGTCTTCCTAGACTTTGTGGTACAAAGCCCCCTGGGGAACATTCCAGCCTGGGTCCCAGGCTCCACCCTGTATTGCTTTCTTTCCACCTTTTTTTTTATAGAATTATGTTCCTCCCTCCTGGGGACATTGAGCACAAACCTCACCCACCTATTCAGCTCAGACTGTTCAGGGCCCTACCAGGTCCACAGATTCAGAGGGCACTCCAACTGGGATGTTACCAGGTACCCCAGCTCAACACACCTACAACCACTCAAGTGCCCCTCAAGCCCCCATGACCAGCCCATGTGCCAGTTTCAATGTGGTTCTCTCCTCCTGGGACCCTGGAACCAGCCTCATGACCACCACTCCTCACACCCAGTCTACCACCACACGTTGGCTCTCTCCTCCTGAGGTCCACGGTCTCTGTTTCCACCACCCTGGCCAAGAATGGTCCTTCCCCTTCCCTCAAGGCTGTCCCACATCTGATTTTAGACATTGCCCACCCTTGCCACTCTCCCCATGTGCCATGGGAGCACTCCAAATGCACAATCTGTTAATCTCAAGTCACCACCTGCTCTCCTCTGGCTTTTAATACTTTGCTGCTTGCCAGTTGCCCCTTGGCACATCTCTAGGTATCTGGCAGGTGCCTGCGCCAGCAGCTCCATCTACCCAGGATGCCTGCTATACCCGCCCTGTCTTCACAATTCAGGTTCTGCTCCGGAGACGCTGGCTGATGCCAAGCTCCCCAGACCTCTCTGACAAGCTCAAAGTCCCCAAGTCCCCTTTAACAACTAACCTCTTATCTGTACTGCTCTTGATGTGAATTGACTGCTCCACTAGCATGGGGCTGGTACAATGCTCTGTGTAAAGATGCTGCTGAATACCAGTCTCAGAGGGTGGAAGGCTGTGTGCACAACCCAGACAGGCAGTGGGTGATACTGTGTGAAGGTGGGGATGGTGCCAAATGGCACAGACCAGAGATGAGCAGGAAGCAGCATGAGGCTCTCCTCAAATCCCATCCTGATCTTGGTGCTCTTTGGCCCCATACACACTGCAGAGCCTGCAAGGTACAGCAAAGGACAAATGGCCCCACTAGCCTTGAACAGAGCCCCACAGGTGCTCATTGCCCACTTACCTTACATGCTGTGGCCACAAGGACTCCATTCCGGCTCCAGACAGCACTCTGTACCAGGTCCCCATGGGCTGCCAGTTCTGTGGAGAAGCAGTCATAGTCAGGTCTGCGGTGATGAGGACACCAGAGAAGTAAGTGGGGACAGAACTGGCTTAGTGTAATGCCCAAAGCAAAGGCAGTGGCAACAAGGGTCCCTTTCAGGCAGGAGGGGTCCTTTCCTGGGTGCTATACCTGCACCCAGGGCCTTGTTCCTTAACCCTGCCTTAATCAGGCCATGTACCACTCGACAATCTTTCGAGGCTCCCTACTTCTTGGCTTGGATCTTGCTTTCCATCCAGGCTCATTTTCACTCATTATGCCACTCTGCCCCATCATCTCCCATCCTGAGTCTCTGCTCCTGCCATCTCCATTCTCTTCCCCTAGTTTGAAATATATCCACACACTCTTTAAAATGCTTCCTGTTATGGGTTGAATTGTGCTGTCTCCCAAAATATTGAAACCTTAACTCCAGCACCTATGAATGAGATCTTATTTGAAAATATGTTCTGTGGGGCTGAGGCTATAGCTCAAAGGCAGACAGCATGCTCAGCATGGGTGAGGCTCTGAGTTCAATCCTCAACACCAAGGGAAGAAGGGAGGGAAGAAGGAAGGAAAGAGCCAGCGTTGGTGGCTCCCACCTGTAATCTTAGCTACGAAGGAGGCAGAGATCAGGAGGATTGTGGTTCAAAGCCAGACCAGGCAAATAGTTCACGAGACCCTAGCTTGAAAAAAAATCCATCACAAAAAAGGGCTGGCAGAGTAGCTCAAGCATTAAAAGTACCTGCCTAGCAAGCATGAGGCCTTGAAATCAAACCCCAGTGCTGCCAAAAAAAAAAAAAAGGGGTGGTGGGGAGAGGAAGTTCTTTGTAATCTAATATGACTGTTTCCCTTCTGAAAAGGGGAAATTAAAAAAAAAATTGGCAGTACTGGAATTTGAACTCAGGGCCTTGCACTTGCTAGGCAGGCGCTCTACCACTTAAGCTACAATTCCCAGCCCTGAAAAGGCTGGGAACATGGCTCAAGTGGTAGAGCGCCTGCCTAAACACAGAGACAGATGTACATAGAGAGAAGACAACGTGAAGGCCACCCACAAGCCATGGAGTGCCTGAGGCTACAGAAGCTGAGAGACACCTGGGTCAGAGGAACCAGCCCTGCTCACAACTTGATTGTTCAAAGATAAAGTCCTGTTGTTTTATGCCACCAGTTTATATCCTCTACAACAGCAGCCTAGGAAACCAAAACATGTGTAGTCTTGAGTAAGAGCAGGACTTCATGACTTGCTGACACTCTCTGGCAGAAGTGAAGGTGTGCAGAAAGTCAGGTCACAAAATGCACTGTCTCTCCTCTCAAGTTGTTCACTGTAGGGGAAGTCAGCTGACAGGTGAGGGTACTCGAGTAGACATGAGGAGACCCACAAAGGGAGAAACTGAAGCCACTGCTCAGGGACAGCACCTGGTAAGTGAGTCACCTCAGAAGCAGCTCCCTTCAGCCCAGCCCCAGTCAAGTCTCCTGAGAGCCCCCAAGTCAGTACGAGTCAGTACCACCAGGCTGAGATGCTCCCATGTTCCTGCACCTCAGATGCCATAAGATAATAAACTTTTCTCAGAGAAACTAAAGCAGATACCTTAAAAGCAACTGAGGCCGATAGGAGAAGGGGACCAGGAACTAGAGAAAAGGTTAGATCAAGAAGAATTAACCTAGAAGGTAACACATGCACAGGAAATCAATACGAGTCAACTCCCTGTATAGCTATCCTTATCTCAACCAGCAAAACCCTTGTTCCTTCCTATTATGGCTTATACTCTCTCTACAACAAAATCAGAGATAAGGGCAAAATAGTTTCTGCTGGGTATTGAGGGGGTGCGGGGGAGAGGGAGGGGGCGGAGTGGGTGTTAAGGGAGGGGGTGGGGGCAGGGGGGAGAAATGACCCAAGCCTTGTATGCACATATGAATAATAAAAAAATTAAAAAAAAAAAAGATAATAAACTTTTATGGCCCAAGCATGTCCCAAGCACCAGCTAACCACTACACTAAGGTCTCCATCTCCTGGGACTAATTCCAGCTCTGCCACCTACTCACGCCATGGCCTTGGCAAGCTATTTAAGCCTCGTAAGCCTCATCTGTACCATGGGAACTGTGACCCCTCCAAGTGCAGCTGCTGTGCAGACAGATGTGCCAATAAGCCATGAAGCAGGGTGCAGGCACAGAGGAAAAGCCTGAGCAGTGGTAGCTATGGGTGGGTCAGTCCCTAAAGACAGACAGGAGGCCTATTTGCCTTCGTCTCTGCTTCTAGGGTTAGGCTGATTGCCTAGGCCCTCAAGAGAAAGGCCTGCACCTTCTGTTTCATGTTGCCCATTCCCCATGGCATAAGATGACTCCATGGTGGCCACTGGCTGAGTTTTCAGTAACTGATGCTATCAGGACAGAGTCCCTAGGACACTGGCTATGCTGACGGCCCTCTGTGAGCAGGACACAGACAGACCCCTCATTCCTTGTCCACCCCCAACACTGGGGCAGGTGTGTCTCTCAACTCTCTAGGCATCCATGTCTTTATCTCTGAAATGGGGATAAGCAAGTCAGGGATGACCTTCTGTAGAGAGCATGGTATGACATCAACACGGGACACCACAAAGCCCAGCTGTAAGACACATGTACACCATCACAATCTTTCACACCCGAGGAATCTGACCCTGTCCTGTGACTCTACAGGGAGACAATGGGAGAAAAAGCAAGCAAGCGTGGGAGGGGTGCTCCAGGGAGCCAAATCCTCATCTTCCTGGGCAGGAAGGGTTTGTTTTCAAAACTGAAAACAGTTTCAATTAATTACAGTGTAAGGAAGTTATTTAGAAAAATGGAGGAAAGCTAGGCATGGTGACACGTGCCTGTAATCCCAGCCTCATGGAATATGTAGGTAGGAAGGGTCATTGTTGGAGGTCAGCCACAGGCAAAAAGCTTAAGATTCAGACTAGAGGTATGTGGCTCAAGTGATAGAATGTCTGACTCATAAGCACAAAGCCCTGAGTTAAAACCTATCTGAGAAAAAGAACCAGGGGTACGGCTCAGGCGGCAGAGTGCAAGGCCCTGGGTTCAAAACCCACTACTCCGTGCTACAAAAGGAAAAAGAAAAAGAAAAAAACAAGTAAAAATGGAGAGAAACAACAAAAATTAAAACAGCTAATAGAGACAAAAACAGATGCCTGCGGGGAGTGGAGAGGGATGGACCTTCATTGCAAGGCTTGTAGAATTTACACCACGTACATATTAAATTTTGATACTTTCTTTTCTGGAGGGGGGTGGGTGCTAGGGTCAGACTGGGGGCCTTGTATGTGCTAAATAAGTGACTATCACTGAGATATATACCCAGGCCTCATACCTATTTTTTTTTTTTTTTTTACTGAAGTAGATTTTTTTTTCCTTTTATTATTCATATGTGCATATGAGGCTTGGGTCATTTCTCCCCCCTGCCCCCACCCCCTCCCTTAACACCCACTCTGCCCCTTTTCCTATTGGCCTCAGTTGCTTTGATGGTATCTGCTTAAGTTTCTCTGTGTTAAGGGCAACAAATGCTAGCTAGTTTTTAGGTGTCTTACCTATCCTCACCCTCCCTTGTGTGCTCTCGCTTTATCATGTGCTCAGTTCCAATCCCATTGTTGTGTTTTCGCCCTTGATCTAATGTCCACTATGAGGGAAAGACATACGATTTTTGGTCTTTTGGGTCAGGCTAACCTCACTCAGAATGATGTTCTCCAATTCCATCCATTTACCAGCGAATGATAACATTTTTCGTTCTCTTCATGGCTGCATAAAATTCCATTGTGTATAGATACCACATTTTCTTAATCCTTTCGTCAGTGGTGGGGCATCTTGGCTGTTTCCATAACTTGGCTATTCCTAATAGTGCTGCAGTAATAAACATGGTGTGCAGGTGCCTCTGGGTAACCTCTGTCACAGTCTTTTGGGTATATCCCCAAGAGTGGTATTGCTGGATCAAATGGTAGATCGAATGTCTAGCTTAAGTAGCCTCACATTTTTTTCCAGAGTGGTTTGTATTAGTTTACATTCCCACCAACAGTGTAAGGGTTCCTTTTCCCCGCATCCTCAACAACAACCTGTTGTTGGTGGTGTTGCTGCTGAGGCTATTCTAACAGGGGTGAGGTGGAATCTTAGCGTGGTTTTAATTTGCATTTCCTTTATTGCTAGAGATGGTGACAATTTTTTTCATGTGTTTTTTGGCCATTTGGAATTTCTTCTTTTGAGAAAGTTTGTTTGTTCACTTGCCCATTTTTTATTGGTTCATTAGTTTTGGGAGAATTTAAGTTTTTTAAGTTCCCTATATATTCTGGTTATCAGTCCTTTGTCTGATGTATAGCTTGGCAAATATTTTCTCCCACTTGTGGGGTGTTCCTTTTCAGTTTAGAGACCATTTCTTTTGTTGAACAAAGAGAGCTTTTTAGTTTTTTATGAAGGTCCCATTTATCTATGCTATCTCTTAGTTGCTGTGGCTGCTAGGGTTTCGTGGAGAAAGTTCTTACCTATACCTACTAATTCAGAGTAGTTTCCTACTCTTTCCTTGTACCAACTTTAAGAGTTTGTGGTCTGAATTAAGATCCTTGATCCATTTTGAGTTAATCTTGGGTATAGGTGATATACATGATCTAGTTTTAGTTTTTTTGCAGATGCTAACCAGTTTTCCCAGCAGTTTTTGTTGAAAGGCTGCTATTTCTCCATCGTATATTTTTAGCTCCTTTGTCAAAGACAAGTTCTTGGTTATAGTTTTGTGGCTTCATATCTGGGTCTCTTATTCTGTTCCACTGGTCTTCATGCCTGTTTTTGTGCCAAGTACCATGCTGTTTTTATTGTTATTCTTTGTAATATAGTTTGAAGTTCAGGTATTGTGATACCTCCTGCATTGTTCTTTTGACTGAGTATTGCCTTGGCTATTCGTGGCTTCCTGTGTTTTCCATATAAATTTCACGGTAGATTTTTCAAATCTCTTTAATGAATGTCATTGGAATTTTTGATGGGAATTGCATTAAAACATGCAGATTACTTTTGGAGTATCGACATTTACTATGTTGATTCTACCAATCCATGAGCATGGGAGATCTCTCCACTTTCTAAGTCTTCCTTCAATCTCTTTCTTCAGAAGGTGGATAGTTTTCCTTGTAGAGGTCTTTCACATCTTTTTGTTAGGTTTACACCTAGGGTATTTGATTTTTTTGAGGCTATTGTAAATGGAATTTTTTCATGATTCTTTTTTCAGTTTGCTCATTATTATTCAGTGTATAGAAATGCTAATGATTTTTTCTGTTGATTTTATATCCTGCTTTTGCTATAGCCTATTGATGATGTCTAGAAGCTTCGAGTGAGTTTTTTTGGGTCTTTTAAGGTATAGGATCACTGTCATCTGAAATAGGGATATTTTTGACAGTTTCTTTACCTATTTGTATTTCTTTATTCCTTCTTCTTGCCTAATTGCCTTGGCTAGGAAATTCCAAAGTACCATGGTTGAATAGGAGTGGAGATAGTGGGCATCTCTTGTCTGGTTTGATTTTAGAGGGAATGGTTTTTCAGTTTTTCTCCGTTAAGTTATAATCTGGCTGTGGTTTGATTCTTAGAGCTTTTATCATAACGAAATGGTGTTGGATCTTATCAAAGGCTTTTTCTGCATCTATTGAAAGATTCAATGGCGTTTTTGTACTTTGCTTCTGTTAATTGGGTTTATTACGTTTACTTGATTTTCGTATGTTGAAACCAACCCGCTATCCCTGGGATTGAAAGCCTACTTCGGTCGTTGGGTGAATAATCTTTTTGATGTGTTGTTTGAATTCGTTTTTGCCATTATTTTGTTGAGGATTTTTGCCATTCAGTGCTTCATTTAGGAGATTGGCCTACAGTTGCTTCTTATTTTGGAGGTGTCTTATTGCCTTGGTTTTGGGATAGTGTAACACTGCTTTCATAAAATGTTCATTATCGTTAGGCAGTTTTCCTTCCCTTTCCATTTCGCAGAAAACAGTTTAAGGAAGGTTGGTATCAAAGTTCTTCTTTAAAGGTCTTGATATGAATTCACGCCAAAGAATCCATCAGGTCCTTGGACTTTTTTTCTTTTTGGGGAGACTCTTGATTGCTGCTTCAATTCAATGTGTGTTTTATTATAGATCTATTCAGGTGATTAATTCCTCTTGGTTTCAGTTTTGGATGGTCATGTATCTAGAAATCTGTCTATTTCTTTAAGATTTTCAAATTTATTTGAATATAGTTCTCAAAGTAGTCTCTGATGATTTCCTGGACTTCCATGGTGTTTTTGTTATCTCCTCTTTTGCATTCCTGATTCTACTAATTTGGGTTTTTCTCTCATTTTAGTCAGGTTTGCCAGGGGTCTATCGATCTTGTTTATTTTTTTCAAAGAACCAACTTTTGTTTCATTAATTCTTTGTATGGTTTTTTGGTTCTATTTTTCGTTGATTTCAGCTCTTATTTTTATTATTTCTCTCCTTCTATGTTTTGGGATTTGCTTGTTCTTGTTTTTCTAGGAGTTTGAGATGTATTCATTAGGTCATTGATTTGGGATCTTCAGTCTTTTTAATATATGCACTCATGGCTATAAACTTTCCTCTCAGGGACTGCCTTAGCTGTGTCCCATAGGTTCTGGTAGGTTGTGTTTTCATTTCATTGACTTCCGGAACTTTTTAATTTCCCTTTTATTTTCATGATGATCCATTCTTCATTAAGTAATGAGTTATTTAGTTTCCAGCTATTTGCATATTTTTTGTCTTTACTTTTGTTGTTGAGTTCTACTTTTACTGCATTGTGATCAGACAGTATGCACGGTATAATTTCTATTTTCTTATATTTGCTGAGACTTGCTTTGTGCCCTAGGATATGATCTATTTTGGAGAAGGTTCATGGGCTGCTGAGAAGAATGTATATTGTGTAGAAGTTGGATGAAATGTTCTGTAGGCATCTAGGTCCATTTGATCTATTGCATATTTTAGATCTTGCATTTCTTCATTGATTTTTTTGTTTGGATGACCTATCTATTGATAATAATGGGGTGTTAAAGTCTCCCACAACCACTGTGTTTCATACCTATTTTTTAATTCAAGTTACTAAAAACACCAACAAGGAAAGGGCAGTCAGTGTGACCATACCTGTCAGGGGCTGCTGCTTGGCTGCATCCCAGACCTTCACAGCTCTGCCTGCTGCGCTCACCAGAACACCATCTACAGTGGGGTGGAACTGCAGTACTTCCACTGGCAGCTCCTCGGGGCCCAGCACAATGCCAGGCAACAAGGGCAGGGCCTGGCCAGGGCTGGGCAGCCGCCAAAGCTTCACCTGTGGGAAAGACCAAGGTCATCACACAGGACTGAAAGCTTCGCTGCCTCCAGCCAGCTGTGCCCAGGGCTGTCGCACCCTGTGAGGTCCCATAGTGGAACACGGCAGATCCACAAGGACAACACCCCCCAAGCTGGGGGCACTTAACCTGCCCCAGCATCTTAGGCTGGGGAGCTGCATATACTGCATCATGGAGAGGAGGGAGGGACCCAGCTCAGAGGCCACAGGGTGTGGTGAGAGGCTGGTAAGAAAGACAGTGAGTAGGGGCAAGGGCTCTGCTGTCCCCTCCAGTCTCCCACCGGCACTGTGGGGTCACCAGGGCAGGGCTCAGAAGACCCCAGGATAGGGTGAATGGGATACGAATAGCTTCTCCATCTGGCCCCACTCACCGTCCTGTCTGCTGAGCCTGTGGCCAGGAGAAAGTCATCAAAAGGAGAGAAGTCCAAGTCGGTGACCAGGTCTGTGAGAGAGGAGTGGTTGGAACTACTGGACGTTCTGTTTCCAACCTAGTGGGACCCTCCTCGGGCAGGAACAAAGTCCAGGAGGGTCTGGGACGGGATACCATCTGCTCAGACAGAGGCAGCTGAAAGTCTACAAAGGCCAGGACCCCGCTAGACACCACAGAGGCAAACAACCTAGACCCCCTCCTGTGACACATGTCCCTTAGAGCCCTGCTAACCAGGGTGGCTGAGGGCCCTGGCATCAGAGGGTTGGCAGGAAACAAGCCAGAAGTTCCTTGGACTCCAGGCACCTGCTTGGCTGCAGCTCCCGGGATGGCACCTCCTAAGGCAGTACATCCAGCTGTGCCTCCAGCTGTGAAAGGTCCCCAGAAATCGTCCCCAAAAATCCCTTTTTGGTTTGAGCAGCTGAAGTTGTCTCAGTGCTTTGTGGGGAGGGGAATGTGGGAGCACAGAGTAAGCCATAGCCTAGAGGGGAAATGGGAGTGATGGTATGGTGTGGAGATGCCAGGTGGAGGGTAGCAGTAGAGGGCTGGGATGTGCACAGGAGTACAGGCCAGCATCACCAGAGCCAGGAGCACAGCCACTGTCCCCTCTGCCTGCCTCCCCCAAGTTGGCTAAGGAGATAGGAAAAAGGGTGGATGTGGACAGACTCCCTCTGCAATGGTTACAGCCTGGACTCCCAGCCAGGAGAACCATTAACAGTCCTGGGCCTGGAGCCTCAGAACCCCTGGAGAGGCAGTCCCCCAGTCCTGGGCCAGGTGTAGCGGGCAGCTCAGGCAGCCTGGCATTTCCCAAACTAATGAGATGTGCTGATGAAATTGAGTAACTTGAGTACACCTGCTCTGTATCCTTGTGAGCAGAAATCTCCCCAACTCCTCACAACAGCCCAGCAGGTGGCATCACCCCAACTGGAGGATGAAGACACCAAAACCCAGAAAAAGAAAATAACTTGCTCAGAGGCACAGAGCTAAGAAGGGGCAGGCTGTGAGTTAGGCCCAGGCAATTTTAGAAAGAGTGCTCGTCAACCTGATGCCATGCTGCCCTTCCCCAGGAGTAGGAGCGGTCTGTGCACCACTCCACCACCCATACACCAGACTGCTCCAGGTGCCCCCATTGCTCTGCTCCTCTGGCTGAGGGGCTGAAGTCAGGAGTGACCCTAAGATGAGAGTCTGGAAGAGGTCCCTGAAGGCAGGAAGCTCCCAAAGGAAAGGCAGCAGCCTTATCCCAGCCTGCCGCAGTCTCTCCCACACTGGCACCTATGTGGGTAGAATACTTGATGCCTCCAGGGCAGGTTCTAAGGGAGTGGGAGCTCAGCTACCCCCAAGAGCAACTTCCTGGCAGGGCTCCTGCAGGGAGAGGTTCTGAAGAGTTGCACAACCCACCCACACAGGACCAGTCCAGCTTCTACTCAGAGAGTGCTATATCAAGTATCACCAACTTGGGATGGCTCTTCCATGTGTAAAAAGCATCAAGAAGCCATGGGCCGGGCACCAATGGTTCAAGCCTATAATCCTAGCTACTCAGGAGACAGAGATCAGGAGGATCAAGGTTTGAAGCCAGCCCAGTCAAATAGTTCAAGAGACCTGGTCTTGAAAAAAATCCATCACAAAAAAGGGCTGGAGTGGCTCAAGGTGTAGTACCAGTACTGTCAAAAGAAAAAAAAAAAAAAGGAGCCAAGATGGGCCAGGTATAGTGGTACATAATTGTAATTCCAGCACTTGAAAGGATGAGGCAGGTGGATTGTGAGTTAAGTGCAGCCTGGGCTACATAGTTAGACTGTCTCAAAAAAAAAAAAAAAAAAAAGAGCAAAAATTGGGTCAGGTGGACAGGGTTCTGATTCTGGCTCTGAGCCTCAGACTTCTTTACTGAAAAATGGGTTACCTTAAAACCTGCTTCAAAAAGTTTAAAATTAGATGAAGAAAACAAACTTACACATCTACAAGAGGTGGATCTCTAAGTGAAAGAAGCAAAATTTGAGACTCTGTATTGTGTGATTCCATTCATGTGTCACGCCCACAAAAGGGCAGTCTGCAGAGCAGAGCCAACAAGCACTTCCTGCTAAGGGCGAGGCAGTACCTACTTTAGGATTCCAGGACCATACAGTCTCTGCCACAACTACTCAACTCTGGGCAGGAGTGAAGCTCAGAGGTAAAGCGTGCACTTAGCATGCATGATGCCCTGGGTTCCAATCCTGACATCAAGAGAAAAGATAAAAAAAAAAAAAAAAAAAGAAAAAGAACCCTACTCAACATAGGAAGCAACATAGACTATATACCAGTAAATGGTGGGGTTGTGTTCCAATAAAAGTATTTGTAAAAAGGGAAGCTGGCTGGATGTGGCGATGACAATAGCATGCACATCTCTGCTTCAGAGGCAAAAGCAGACAGACAGCTGCCTGAGGCTATAATGCTCCAAGTCAAGTGAAATTAATTGTAAAGGGATCTTCTGGGGAAGGCAGAAATGTTCTGAAACTGGATGGTGTGCATACAACTCTACAACTTTAATAAAAATCAAGGAATCAGGGCTGGTGGAGTGGCTTAAGTTGTAGAGTGCCTGCCTAGCAAGTGTGATGCCTCAGTTCAAACCCCAATACCATCAAAACGTTTTATATATATATATACACACACATTATACATATTCACTCATACACATATACATTTATCAAGCAGTCAACTAAGCACTGGTGGCTCACATCTGCAATCCTAGATACTTTGGAAGCTGAGATCAGGAGAATGGACGTTTGAGGCCAGCCTGGGAGTACAAGACCCCATCTCAACCAATAGCTGGACAAAGTGGTACATGCCTGTCATCCCAGCTATGTTAGATGCTGAGATCGGGAGTATCATGGTTCAGAAAAAGTTCATGAGATCTCATCTCAACAAACAAAAGCTGGGCATGGTGGTCTGCAACTGTCATCCCAGCTACAGAAGGAAGCAAAAAATAAAAGGATCACTGTCCAGGCTGGCCTGGGTGAAAAACCAGAACCTATTTCAAAAATAACCAGAGGAAAAAAGGGCTGGAGGCATGGCTCCGGTACTATAGCACCTACCCAATAAGCACAAAGCCCTGTATTCAAACTCCACTATAAAAAAAAAAAAGAAGTAGTCACAAGCAATGTTTATAGTATACAAATGATGCCTCAATAAGTCTTTTTATAAGTGAAGATCAGAAAACCCAGACAACAGAACTTAACAGAGTGCGCTAGATAGATTTTGTCACCATCATCAGAATCCATACACTGATCAAAGGACCTCCCAACCAAAGGACCAAGGATCTACCCCCTTCCCTTCAACAGTCGGCCAGACAGCCTGGGCCCACAGCTGCTACAGCTGGACAGGGGAGATGCCACCAGCCAAGTTGGTGCTGCCTCAGCTAGAGAAGGGCGAACGTTCTTCAAAGTGGGCAGATTGCCACGTGGGAGGCTGAGCACTTCCAGGAGCAGCTGGGGCAAACAAAAGCCCTTTGTGAGGGCCCATCTCCAGCCCTGCTACCCACCCCTGCCGCCTCTTTGGAGGGCTCTGAGCAGCCTGGCTGGGGAGGGTGCCTGGTGGTGAGGGCTAGCCTGCTGCACTCCAGGAGAGGATGCAGGGCTAAGAGGTGAGTCCTGAGCAGTGTCAGAAGCCAGCCTCAGCCTGGAGCTGGGGACTAGAGCTGTACATCCCCCACCTCCCAGCTTGACATCCTGGAGCAATCCCGAGTCTCTCCTCTCTGCCCAGATCCAAATTTTAAACCAGGTATAGCCTTCTGAGCCCAAGTACCTTGCGAACTACACAGTACAGATGATAAACCATGGGCAGTTGGATCAAGTGTCTATGAATCCCTGGTCCCAGGAGGTAGGCAAGCTCCAGGTTTCCCCTAATAAGCACCCAACTCACCTGAATGGCAGCCCAGGTAGGCCACATGTCTTTTGTCCTCTCCATGGCTTTCCAGAGGTGTGATACCCAACACACCTGTTAAACAAACATAGGGGCTCTGACTTGGGGTCTAATGGGAACAGCTTACCTCCCAGCCTAGAGCCCCCAGAGAAGGCCAAACTCAAAAGCTTAGCCTGCCAGGCACCAGTGGCTCACGCCTATAATCCTAGGTACTCAGGAGGCAGAGATCAGGAAGATCACAGTTTGAAGCCAGCCTGGGCAAATGGTTCATGAGACCCAATCTCAAAACAATCCATCACAAAAATAGGGCTGGTAGAGTGGCTCAAGATGAAGGCCCTGAGCTCAAGCCCCAATACCACAAAAAAAAAAAAAAAAAGCTTAGACTGGGACCTCCCAGGGTTAGGTTCTTCCCCAGGCAAGAACCATCCCTGCGTGAGATGTACAGAAGCCACTGGAAAAAGAGGTTTTCTTTTTCTCACATGGTAGATCAGATGAAAGGCCAGCTTGGAGCCTGTGGCTTTCACTTCTCCTACCTTTACCTGAGAAAGAAGTCAACATCCCAAGGCAGCAGAGATAAGAGACCAAGAGAGAGGTTGGAGTTGATACCATATGTGAACCTTTGGATACAACTCTTCCTGAAGCCCCTGATTTCTTAGATAAGCAAAAAGATAATATATATTTTTTGCTTAAATTGGTTGAGGGTTATATTATAGTAAGCAGCCAAAAGAGTCCCAACTGACATAAGGGCTTTTTTCTTTTTCTGTTTTTATTTCTTTTTTTAGATTTTTTGAGACAGGGTCTTATTATGTAGCCCAGGCTGTCCTGGAACTCAAGAACCTCCTGCCTTGGCCTCCCAAGTGCTGAAACTACAGACATGCGCCACCATGCCCAGCTTGTTTTATAACAGGGTAACTTTTGCCCAGAATGACCTTGAACTGCAATCCTCACACACAGCTGGGATTACAAGAGTATACCACCACACCCAGCATGAGAGCTTTTCAAATCTTTGAGTTCCTATTAACCCCAGCCACCCTGGAGAAGAGAGGGGGATACCAGCGAGAATGACTGAAAACAGAAGTGTCAGTCTCCTTCCTGCCCTCCTAGGCATGTTCTTGAAGATGACAGCCATTGTGGTTTATACATAAGGACACTCTAGTCAAAATTGATCTGATTACTACATGTTAATCACTTTGTAAGGATCTAAGGTCACGTGTGGTGCTCGCCTCTGAGGCACCCCCACCCAGGCCACTCCCTACTCATGTCCACCACACACACACACACACACACACACACACACCTGGACGATCAGAATTGAAGGCTATCAAACTGCAGCTTGATTTGATATGGTTCCCACATGAGGAAGTGGTTCCCACACGAATGTCATTGATCCAGGCCTGGAAATAAAGAATAAGAAGCATGTGGTAAGGAGGTAAGGATTTCTGCTCATGCTTAAAAGTAGGGGCCGTAATCCAGGGAACTGTTTTTTTTTTTTTTTTTTTTTTTTGGTGTAACTGGGGTTTCAACTCAGGGTTTCACACTTGCAAAGCAGGCACTTTACAACTTGAGCCATACCTCCAGTCCACTTTGTTCTGGTTACTTTGGAGATGGGAGTCTCTCAAACTCTTTGCCTGGGCTGGCCTCGAACCACAAGCCTCTGGATCTCAGCCTCCCAAGTAGCTAAGATTACAGTTGTAAACCAGCAGTACCTGGCTCAGGGAACTATTTTTTTCTTTTTGCAGCACTGGGGTTTGAACTCAGGGCTTCACATTTGCTAGGCAGGTACTCTTGCCACTTGAGGCACTCCACTAGCTCTAAGGGAATTCTATCTTAAAGGTGCACTATTAGAAACACAATCCTTTGGATCAAACCCTGTTCCCAATCACAGTCCCTTGAAAATGAAAAACGTTCTCAAAATAACCTAAGGGGTGATTTTGCTTAGCAAGTCAGTTCCCTAATTTGGGGGGAGGAGCTGTCAGGAGGAAGTATGAGTAGAGGGAGGCTTGTTTCTGTTAAGAAAGAGGGAGGGAGGCAAAGGAAGGAGGAGTGAGCACCTAAGACAGAAGACAGGTTCATTTTCCCCAGCTGCTGTGCTGAGGGTTACCCCAGGACCCTCTCCAAGAACCAGGAGAAAAATGCCCACACTCAGAAGGGGAGTATAAAGGCCTGGCCTCCTCAGAACATGCCCTTCTACCAAGTCCTCTAGATGAGTGAGCCCTCACTCCACAAGGTGGAGTAACACCCCCACATGTGGGAGGCAGAGGAACACTTTTTGTGAAACAGATCAGCAAGATCTCCTATTTCCTGTTGGTGTCAAAGCACTGCTTCTCCTTCCTGCCACAAAGAAAGAGCACCCACACTTTACAATCCATACCCCTGCAGCATCACCACCTAAATTTCCTGTCCACGGTAGACCATCAGACCTCTGCATTACATTACCTGCTGATTCGTGTTTGCACAGTATCTCTGAAAAGAACAGATCTGCTCTCCCACTTCCCTAACATAAACTGTTTTAAGCTCTCCCTACAGCTCATGGTTCCATGGGCCTGTTTACCTTGCAGGACAGAGGCCCACTCAACAGCAAGCACCAACCCCTCAAGGAATACTTATTGTACTTGGAGCGATGGCCTTTTTACCTTTTTGTTTTGTTTTGGTGGCACTGAGGGTTTGAACTCAAGGTCTCATGCTTGCTAGGCAGGTGCTCTTATTGCTTGAGCCACTCTACTCTGTTTAGTGTTGGGTATTTTTGAGTCTCATGAACTATTTGCTCAGGCTGGTTTCAAACTTCGATCCTCCTGATCTATGCCTCCTATGTAGCTAGAATTATAGGCATGAGCTACTGGTGCCCCGCATCTTTTTACTTTTCTTTTCTAATTCCCCTCATTCAATACCAGTAATGGACTTAATGCAAATCTAAACATTAAATACCTTCCCTCAACTTTCAACGGCTCCCCACTGCGCTCAGAATAAACCCAACTTTTTCCCTCAGGCTCTACAGGCCTGTCCTGGACTCAGCTGTCACCACACTTCCCAGGTCACTACCATCTACCCACTTTGCTCCACTTTATGTTTCTCTACCAGGCTCTTTCCCACTTCTCAGCCCTCTGGCCTCAGCTGAAATGTCACTTCCTCCAGGCAACTTTCTCCACCACCCTAAGATTAACCCTTACCTCCCCATTCTCCACCCCAGCCCCTCATGTTCTTCGATGCATTTATTAAAACTTGCAACACCCTTACATATCTCTCTGCTTGCTGGCTATCTCCCTCATGAAGTTGTAAGTGCCATAGGGGAAGGAAAATGATGTCACATTGTCCAGTGTATTTCCAGAAGCTGAGGAAAGCACATTGTAGGTGCAGAGGAAATATTTTCCAAGGAATAAAAATGGAGCCAATGCACCTGACCTGCTTTGGGCCGTTGACAGGGTCACTAGAGGTTGGTTTCTAAGCCCAATCATCTGAGTACACTCCCAGGTCTTTCAAATAACACAGGGGGTGGCAGACGAGAGCTGGCACCATCTTCTGAAGCACACCCCTCATCAAGTCTGCTGCCCTTTGGGGATCGCTGGTGCCTCCCAGCACCTGGCTCAGCTCTTCTTGGCACTCCACCACCTCTGGCTTCCCCCTGGCCACACCCAACCGCTGGAAGCATCACCTCGAGTAAGAGAAGAGCTTGCGCCAGCAGCGAGAGGAAGCCAGGGCGGAAACCGAGGGAGGGGCGCGCGCCTGGCCCCGGGTCCCCTCTGCAGCGAACACGCGCGGAGTCGCCAAGGCCAGGGGAGACAGGGACATCTCTTCTACAGCCCAGCCCCGGGTGGGGACGATCCGGGGCGGCACGGAGGAGGAGCTGGGCGCCAGCAGCGCCCTAGCAAGGCCGACCGGAAGCAGGGAAGGCAGGCAGCCTCGCAGGCCTCAGGCCCGGCCCCGGCCGGGGTTGCGGTGCCTTCGGGGTCCCCGGGTGGGGGGCGGGCGGGGCGGGCCACTCGGATCACTGATGTGCCGGAGCGCGTCATCGGAACCCTGGACTCTGCTCTCCCGGCAACAACGACTAGCCTAGACGCCTGGGCTGGGGCCAGAAGGGGGCGCCCGGGAGGAGAAGGCTCGGGGGGCTCGGCGGCCCGCGAGGTCCACTGCCGGGCCGGCGCAGGGGAGGGAGGGAGCGCAGCCGGCCGGGGCCAGGAGAGAGGGTGCGGGGCCCGCGGGCTGGGCTCACCTCGCGGCGTGGCGGCCGGGCCTCTGTGTGCCGGAATTTGGACACCTTGAAGCGGCTCATGGCGGAAGGGACCGTGCGGGCGCAGCCTGGAAGACCAGAGGCGTCGGCTCTCAGGTGCAAGAGGAGCAGCAGCGCGCTACTCCCGCTGCCTACGGCTCCACCCGCGGGAGGCCGCCCGAGGCCACGCCCCGAGACGGCCCCAACCAATCGCAGCCGCCTGCGCCCCGCCTGCCGCGCCCCCTGCCTGTCTCCTTCCGCGTGCACGCGCCGCCAGCTCCGCCTCCCGGCCAATGGCCACACTCCCGCCCCAGGAGGCCACGCCCTGATCCCCAAGGGACTACTGGGTGGGTGGGCGATCACGTGCCCCGCGGCTGTCCACCCACTGCCCTGGGGGGTGTGCATGGGGACAGCGCTCCACAGTCGCGATTCTGCGTGCAGAATTTACTCCTGAGGCTTTTTCAGTAGGCTGTGTGCGCCCTCGCTCAGTGGCTACCTCCTCAATTAGGACACAAATTGGAAATTAAGTAGCTCCATTTCGGAGGCAAGAAACCCGGCTGAAGAGGACGAAGACTGGGGTGTAGATCAGTGTACAATGCATGCGAGACTTTGCTTTCCAGACTCAGCACCGGTGGGGATGGAGAGGGAGAGGGAAGAGAAGAGGGGAGGGGAGGGGAAGGGAAGGGAAGAGAATTTAGCTCAGGATAAACCGTTGGCCTTAAAGTCACGCATAAGTGGCCGAGGGGGGATCTGAAACCCAGGTCTTTTGCAAATCCCTTTTCTCAGGGTGTACTCAGAAGCCTTTGCATTCCCCACCCTATTTAGACCAGAGGGCCAGGGTCTTCAGCATCCCGGATTAGAGCATGCTAAGGCTGGTCCCCACCAGGATTTGGGTGTGGTTGGAGCAAGACTCCCCGCAGGAAATCACTGAAGTCACTTACAGAGAAACAGAAGGGGCAAGAGCGCAAGATAAGGACGACAGGGAATCTGAAATAGTCATGTGCTCATAGGCGCTGCCTAGTTTAGTTCCCCAGCAACTCTGGAGAAGAGTGCATTTTTTGTTCCATCTGCTACCATGTCTCTTCGCTTTGAAAACTGACTCCATGATTCCAGTGTGCTTTCTGCTTGAGAACCGGCAGAGCATCTGCTCAGACATGTCTGTAAAAGGGACTTTGATCTGAGAAATGTGACTTTGTAGTGGTCAGCTGTTTGAAAGTTCCCTTCTGCAGCCTGATGCAAGATGACAGCCTCATAGGAGACAGGAAAGGACGCAGGTTCTCTCCTCAGTTCTCACAGGTAAAATGTGAAGACTAAAAGGCTACTTTACCAGTACTCTTTGATTTCCATGAAATAAAAATAGGATGTCAGTAGAGTTGAATGACACCTAGAGTTTGTTGTTCTAAACATCTGGCAGATGCAGGTGTGTGGTGTTCCGTGGCCACACCCACCAAATTGGAATTCCAGCAGCGTTTTAAAAGGCACACCGGCACACTCTTTTTTTTTAAAACCTCATTATTAGTATAGAATAGTTTTACATGGGGTTTGTTGTGATATTTCCTTCTATGTGTACAATGTACCCCAGTTTGGTTCATCCCCTTATTGTTCTCCCTCTTCCCCCCCTTCTTAAAATAACTTCACAGGTTTCAATGTTCCATATTCATACATGTATAGAAACTACAGGCTTCCAGTAGCCAGCTAGTGTAGAAGTTATGGCTAAACATAGTGCAGATTTGATCCTCTGCTGCAAGCAGGCTGGTGTTGCCATCCAAAGACTGGGTGAAAACTGCGATTGCAAGTGCATGTTCTGTGACCCGTATGTGCATCCCTGCACTCTGAGGGATGGTTGTCCAAAGATCGCCGATTTGGGGAGCTCTAAGATCTTTTCTATGAACGTGAAGGAAAAATACGAATCCAAGAAGAGGTGATTGGTGGGTAGTCCCTTCCTCCCCCCATCAAGCTGCTGCAGCTGCCAGAAAAGACGTCTACTACTGCCAGCAGAAAGGGAGTGGAGCACCCCCAGAGCTGCATGCTAGTGTATTGGTACCTTTCCACTCTTTCCTTCCCTTGCCCAGACAGGTGGGGATAGAAAAGGATTCTTCAGAGAGCACTCTGGCAGACTGTAAATTTTATTGGTTAGTTCGTGGGAATAATATATTTTCAGTCTTTTGTCTGAGGAATTAACTATGAAGCTACCCCCAGGGAAAAGTGTGTTCTGGCAGTAGCTCTTATAGCAGTTGTCCTTGGTCACTTTCAAGGTGTGGCGGGGAGCCATCTGAACAATAAATGTGATGTGAGCATTTAGTCTTGGAGCGCTTACCAGGTGGTGCTAATTTCATGTTTTTTTTTTTTTCTGAGAAACTGGAAACCTTTTCTGTTGCTATTGTTTTAATAAAGTTGATGTTTATTTTCTGGTAAAAAAATAGAAAATACATCCACCATTTTCACCCTCCTTTACCCTTCCCCTCCCATTAGTGCTCTCCCTTTAACATGATCTGCCTTATATTCCTGCCGTTCATTATTTAAGTGTCTGTTCATTCTTCAGTGGGGGGTTTTACCTTGGCATTTTACCTGTAAATATGTTGTACTTTAATCAGTCAACACTCCCCCATGACTCTTCCTTATCTTTTCTGTCTACCCTGTATTATCCAACAGTTTTCAGTGTGTTTTGTTGTGTCTTGTTCCTACACAGATGTGATGTGTTTCAATATTATTCAGTTTCTATCACACTCTTCTTCTTTTCCTCTCCCCTAATAGTCCCACTTTTGGAAACATGTTTTATATACACATACATATATATGTATATGTGATAATACTTGTATTTGTTATTTGGGTATATCTTCCACATATGAGAGAAAACATTCAACCTTTGTCTTTCTGAACCTGGGTAACTTCACTTAACACGTTCTCCAGTTCCATCCATTTGGCTGCACCAACACAGTCTTGAGTTCAATTGCTGTGTATGTTGCCTTTTAAAAAATTGCAGCAGCCAGGCATGGTGACACAGGGCTATAATACCAGCACTCAAGAAAGCTGAGGCAGAAAGTTCTCAAGTTGAAAGCCAGCCTGGGATACATAGTGAGACACTGTCTTAAAAAACCAAAGACTGGGGATATAGCTCAGTGGTAGAGCCCTTGGTTGGCATGTGTGAGGCCCTGGGTCAATTACCAGAACAAGAAAGAAAGAGAGAAAGAAGAGAGAAAGAGAGTGGGAGCAAGAGAGAAAGAGAGGAGAAAGAGAGAGCGAAGAGAGGAGGAGAGGAGAGGAGCGAGAGAGAGAGAAGAGAAAGAAAGGAGGAAAGGATGAAGGGAGGGAGGGAGGAAGGAAGGAAGGAAAGAAAGAGAAAGAAAGGAGGGAAGAGGGAGGGAGGGAAGGAGAAAGGAAAGAAAGAAATGTGTTAAGAAACTTATACAATGTACCAACCTACAACACCCCCATGGTGGATTGAACCCAGGACCTTATGCATCTCATGCATGTATGCTATGCCAGCGTTTTACCTCTGAGTTACATCCCCAGCCCTGGAGCATTTCTAGGTGTACAACTGGATGGTATCAAATCCATTCACAATGTTGTACAACATCACCACCGTTCATCTCTAGAACTTTTTCATTTTGGAAAACTGAAGCTCTATACCCCTTCACAATTGTTCCCTATCTCCCCTCCTAGCAGACCCTCATAATAATTATTCTGATTTTTTGTCTCTATGAGTTCAACAACTCCACACTTGATCTTAGCCAAAAGGCCAAGAAGCGATTGAATTTGACAACTCTAGGTACCTCATAAAAGTGGACTCATATGGTGATTGTCATTCCTGACTTTATTTCATTTAGCATAATGTACTCAAAGGTTCATCCCTACTGTGGTCTGTGACAGGATCGCCTTCCTTTTTAAAGTTGAATAATATAATGTTGTCCGTGTATACCACATTTTGGTTTTGCATTCGTCTGTTGATGGACACTTGGCTATTACAAATAACGATGTTATAAACATGCATGTACAAATGTCTCTTTGAGACCCTGCTTTCAAGTCTTTGAATGTATACCCAGAAATGGGATTGCTGGATCATATGATAGTTCTGTGTGCGTGTGTGCGTGTGTGTGTGTGTGTTCCTGGGGATTGAACTCAGGGTCTCATGCTTCATAGACAACTGCTGTACTACTTGAACCATGCTCCTAAGTCCTTTTTTGCTTTTAGCAAAAAAGCAGGGTCTTGAGCTAACTTCACTTGGGCTGGTCTTATCCTCCTACCTCCACCTTCTGAATAGCTAGGCCTGTGCTACCAAGCCCAGCTGATAGTTCTATTTTTAACTTTCTGTGGAGCCACCACAAAAAATACTACCTTGTTTTTTTTTTTTTTTTTTCCAGTTCTGGGAATGGGACTCAGGGCCTGGAGCATTCAGGCAAGTGCTCTACCACTGAGCTATATCTGTAGCCCAAGATATTGCCTTTTAAATTATAATTACTAATATGTTAGTGCCATCCTTTAGTTACTGTTTACATCAACTGTATCTGGGCCAGGTGCCAGTGGCTCATGCCTGCAATCCTAGCTGCTCAGGAGGCAGAGATCAGCAGGCTTAAGGTTTGAAGCCAGCCTGGGGAGATAGTTCTCAAAACCCTATCTCAAAAAAACCCAACACAAAAAAGGGCTGGCAGAGTAACTCAATTGGTAGAGCACCTGCCTAGCAAGTATGAGGCTGAGTTCAAACCCCAGTACTGCGAAAAAGAAAAAAGGAAGAAAAAAAAATCAGTATTGGGCATAACTCTCTAGTTCAGACATTATGCAATATGGCTCAAATATTAATCAATCACATACTTATTACAAAGGTTCATATAAACCTTGCAAATTCACTTGGTGTCACTTCATGCTATCCCTAAATTACTTACAAATCTACCATATGTCAGATTACAGATAGAAACTCCACAGGCTACAGGACCAGAGCTGAATAGCACCTGTCTCCTTTAAAGCAAGCATTTTATTCATCCAGTTCCCCTGGTCCCTATCATCTTAAACGTGGACACTGTACCCTACCTCCCTCTTTTTCTCTCCCTTCTTCCCTTTCTCCTTTTCCTCCCTCCCTCCCTTCCTTCCCCTGGGTGACCTCAAATTCACCTTCCTCCTGCCTCAGCCTCCTGAGCAGCTGGGATTACAGCATCACTGACACTCAACTTTTCACTC